CTGCTGGGCCGGAGCCGCCCGGGCCCAGGCCGGGCTCTTCCTCGGCAGCGCACTGACACCCCGTGGCAGCAGCGCTTTGTGCTCCCGGCACAAGCTTTGCCTCCGCAGAAACGAAGATATAAACAAGCTCATTACGCTCTTTTTGGTGGCAGGTATTTCGTTTCTCGCGTGGAACAATTCCAGCTATTTTACAAGAAGGGTGGTGTGAGCTGAGCACTGGCTTTTTTTTGTTACAGGGGCTCGGCCTTTCTAAAAAAAAATAGTCGCTACACAGGTCTGTCTGAGCACTGTGAATTTCTCAGACATGCTTATACACTCCGCACATCATTGTTACCGATATTAAAGTTGCAAGAAATAAAACACTCAAGCGTGCGGTTAAGACTCCTCTGGAACCAGCTGCATGTCGCAGGACGAGGTCTCACCGATCCCATTTCTCTTCTGCTTTGGCCTGTTGCCATGCTTTGAACTGCCAGCAGAACAAGAGCCCCTGGCAGACCCTCCTTGAGCATCGTCTGCTTCATAAATGTACCCATCCTGGAGGAACAGATGACAATTATATGTCACAATATATCAACATAATTGTCACTAGCATATACCTGGGAAAATCATCCGAAAGAGAGGTTTATCTATTAAAAGCAACAATACAGTATATTTTAAATGTCTTGCTTTTTGTCTTGCAACCTTCTTAAAAACCATTCCACCCTCCAAGGTTGAAATCTTGGGATGAGCAGAGCTTGCTTCTCCTCCTTAGGAGGGTACAGGTTCACACGTAAGCACTGGGGATCTGTCAGAAATCCATGAATTTACCTTAATTAATTGCACCTATTTTTCCAGTTGACTAGCTGTGTTACAATAAACTTTTGAATTAAACTGTTGAAAGGGCAACTCATTTCCATCCTGACTTCTTCAACATGCATAGGCAACAAGTCACGTCCATTTTGTGTAAGTTTGGTCTGTTAATTGGGACTTTGAGTCTGATGCTCTGGATCTAACACAAACCTACTGTAAAAAAACTCTCATCCAGCTTGAGACCCCTTTCTGTGAAATTAGTTTGGACATAGGAATGGCTATGAAGGTCTCTGTGCCTCGTCCTCCAGATCCACTCTGCGGCAGCTGGCCCCCCAACCAAATTGTGGAGCAGGGTCTGGTACATGGACAGGTGCATTACTTGGACTCAAACAAGTGGTAAGAAATGCCAGGTGTTTGTTCCTTCATAGATAAGTTCTTTACAACCTGTTTGAATAACACCTTTATTCAATAGTAACAATGATGGACTGGCTGTTCTTAGTCACATGGAACCAGAGTTTCACCAGAGATTTGCTTTCATTACTTTGCTCCTTAACAGCACTGTGCACCTCATCTTCTGCATGCGCAAAGAAAATAATCTTTTTAGAGATAGGTTTCCTCACATCACCTTTCCTAGGTGAACAACTTTTAACAAGGAGCCTTCACAGATCTTCAGACCTTTGCCACCGACTTCTTTACTAACCTGGCTGGAAATGCTCAGTAAGCCTCAGACCTAGCACAGGACCCAGAGACCTTGAGATATCAGTATCACTGGGTCAGGTATGGGTCGGAAAAAACCCTCTTCACTCTCCTAGTGCCAGCCTCCTTCTTGGAGAGGCTTGTGGACAGCCCAGCTTCGTGCTTACCATCAACCTGGTCCTAACTGACCAAATGCTTCAGATTATAAAGTTCTACAAAGAGTTACATCCCATAACTGCCTGTGCACCAGTACTGCTGTCAAGTTGCTGGTTTGAAAATCCAGGTTACGCAAACATTTCCTTAATTAGTTTGTTTTACACAGAAATCCCTCTACCTTCTTTTTTCACGTTAAAGTGGTGGCTCAGCCAAGCAGGTCTAAGAGCTCCTACTCAGGTTAATTTCTCTCCCAAGCACTATATTCCCATATAAGTATTTTGTGTTGCAATTCAGCTTATTTTATACTTTATTCAGTATTTTGTGCTGTTATAGCTGTTTTCAGGATGACTTTGTAATCCTTATCATCCACACTCCCCAACAAAACCATCATCTACATAAAGAGTCACCTCTTAACACCAGCAAAATCTGCTATATATTACAGGTATGAGAAAACCGTCTTCTAATAAAAGGGCTAAAATCAGTACATGTTTTTGTTTTAAAGATGGGGGTTTAGGAAGGTGTGTGTCATCTACCAAGTCCTCAAAATTTATCTTCTTATTGAAACTGGGAGATATTTTCTTTTTATATATTTATCCAAGTCCTTTGGGCCAAATCAGGCTTCTGGTTATTTGCTTTTTCTGTTTTAAAGAGCCATGTGATTGGTCTGAACTAATAGAATTATAGAATCATAGAATCATTCAGGTTGAAAAGACCTTTAAAATCAAGCCCAACCATTAACCTAACACTGCCAAGTCCACCGCTACACCATGTCCCTAAGCAGCTCATCCACACGTCCCCTGTTATGTCCCTGAGCAGCCTGTTCCAATGCTTGACAACCCTCCCAGTGAAAAAATTTTTCCTAATATCCAATCTAAACATCCTCTGGTGCAGTTGGAGGCTGTCTCTTCTCATCCAATCACTTGTCACTGGGGAGAAGAGACCAACCCCCACCTCTGCACCCTCCTTTCAGGTAGCTGTAGAGAGCCATAAGGTCTTCCCTCAACCTCCTCTTCTCCAGGCTGAACACCCCCAGTTCCCTCAGCCGCTCCTCACAGGACTTGTGCTCCAGACCCTTCCCCAGCTCCATTGCCCTTCTCTGGACACGCTCCAGCATCTCAATGTCTTTCTTGTAGTGAGGGGCCCAAAACCGAACACAGGATTTGAGGTGTGGACAAGGTGCTTAGGGACATGATTTAGTGGTGGTATTATTAGTGTTAGGTTAATGGTTGGAATTTATGATCCTAAGGATCTTTTCCAGTGTAAAGATTCTATGATTCTATGATTGAGATCTGCAGCTGAATCTGTTGACTTAATGAAAATACAGTCTTTATCACCCAATCCATTAGCTGAGTTTCCTCTGAAGTCATGGGTGTTCCTTGTCATAACACCACCCCACCTCTCCAACCTGAATCAGACTCTGTTGGCTGCAGTGTGTTCTGATCTTGCAGTATATAGGGGCAAGGGGTCTGGGGTCATGCTTTTGCTGGGTCTGTTTTTCCTTTTTTTGCAGAAAACTCTGGACTACTCGGTTTATATTATGTACAGCTCAAGATGACTTCCATTTCTGCAAGATATCCCAAGAACAATTATTTCCCCCCAGTGATGAGGTGGTGGAAACAGAGACGCTGCACTTCTGCTCTGTTGAAGCCAGCAGTGTGCATTTTATGGGATTTTACATGAGCCCATTTGTACAAGGAAAGAAAAGTGTTAACATCTGGAGTGCAATTAGTTCCACTGATATGTCTGATACACAGGTTATACAATAAATTTACATGAAAAGACCCTTCTTTGCTCGTAGGAAGTCACAGCATAAACTTCTTCTGCAGAATTTTTTTGATTCTTTGCACTCCAGTAGCAGTTCAGTGCTGTAATCTCTAAAAATTGTACTAGAAGTGTTGGCTAATTAATGTGAAGTATTTAATAAAAAGCCTAGGAAAGCTCATTCTTTTCCAGGTGGTCTGCCTCGATTTCTACAGTCCTGGGGCCGTATTTCCTTAGAAAACATACACTGAGCACAACAGATCCTTTCCCCAGTTATCTCAGATCAGACCAGGAGAGGGCCAGATAGCACCAGCAAACGCAGCCGCATTCACTATTTGTTCAGAGTAAAATGCGTCCACATGTGATTATCAAACTTTGCACCTTGCTAAACAATTTATTCTGAACAGCAGGGCCAAGCGTACAACATTCCTTTCTCGAGCACAGAGGCTTGGTACAGTTTTAAACCTAGTCACAGCACTACAACAAAGAGTATAATTAAAACTTTGTAGTGGGTTGTGCTGTCTTATAATAAGCAGCCAGCAGGTACAGGATTTAAAAGCGAGTCCATCGTCCTCAAGGTGCGCCCTTTCTGCCCCCCAGAAATTCAAAGCTCTGGTAGAGACACAGGGTGGCAAAGGTAAGGCCTCGAGCACAGGGAGATAGGAGGGGACATAAATAAATTATCTTTCAAGCCCTGGAGAGGGCCTTGTACTGAAGCACAGTTTTGCTGGTGCCATGAATGCAGAGCCTCATACCATCTAAGGTGACTTTCAGCCATGCCTATGTGCCTTATGGACATGACCAAAAGGCCCTACCGCTCTCTTCTTATCAGGGGGATATCGGTCAAGGAGCTTTGGGGTGACCCTCAATGTTTCCATCCCACTGTATTTATTTTATTTCAGCAGAGAAACTAAAAATAGAAAGGATTAAACCTGCAATAAAGGGCAATACAAATTTAACACATGTTGTGGCTGAGGAGGAATACAATAATTTGCAATGGCATCCTCTAAAATCTGTTGCCAGGCTTCCATAATTATTGCAAGTTTGTCCGTGGTCTCCATAGCAGCCTTTCCTGAGGCTGGAGGCTGGTGTGGTGACTCACAGCGGTTCGGTGAGGGACTCTACTCCTTTCCAAGGGAGCCTGAGTCACAGGATGCCAAACCTGGACTGGTTTCCTGTAATATAGAGGTTCCCAAACTATGGTAGACACACCGCTCACGGTACACAAGGCACCTCAGTGTGGTGCTCCCACATCCCAGACATTGCTGCAGAGTGTACGAGGGTAAGCAAGAGATGTTGCTGCTGCTGCCACTGGCAATGGTGGTACCCAAACAAAAATATTTGGGAACTTGGGCTTTAGTCAGTTGCTAGGCTCACACTGACTCTGTCTCTGAACCCCTCGGGAGGGTAAAAACAGTTTACCACAGCACAGCAGCCGAGTACAGCCCTCACCATGAGCCCTGGGATGGTTTCCTGACCTCGTTAGTGGTGCTGCTGTGGGCAGGGTGTTAGAGCACCTGCCCTGTGACCCCGCAGCTGGAGAGGTCCCTCGCCCTGCTGTCAGCCCTGAGCATCCACTCCGGAGTGGTACGATGGGCAGCTCTGCCTGGCACAGGTGCCTCCTCAGCAACAAGCTCCAGCTTGGCAGCAGATCCTGGGAGAAGGGAGGTCAGAAATGAAATCTTTCTTCCCAACTGAGTGCCCTAACCACAGAGCCACAGATTTAGGCTTTCATATTTCTTTTTGTCTTCTGGTCCCCATGAACCTCATTTTCCTGGAAAAGTGGGTGCACTCCCATGCAGCAGAGGGGTAGCCCCTCCCCGCTTGCCAAGCCTGGTTCGTAATCTTGTATTTAAAGGGATAATTTTGTACTTTGAATCTCCTCAGACTAAGGGAAGGCAGAAGCCCAGGCCACCCACTTGCCAGAGGGGACAGGGCAGCCTCTTGCAGGTGCCATTAGCAGACGGCTGTTGTGCGTGGAGCTGAACACATGGGTTTTGTGGATGCCGGATGTGTCGAGAACAGATTTGCCAGAACAGACCCGTCTTAAATACAGGCAGTTAAACATTGCTTCATTTTCTTAGAATGTGGTGGATCCTGAGGTAAATAAGAGCAAGAAACCCTAACACATCAGTCAAGCAACTTACCTCACAGCAACTCATGGGAGCAGCCAGCAATGTAAATCCGTACCACCTGAATACCTTTGAAGGCACAAATCCATTTCTTAAGCAGCAAAATCATCCTGAGATGTCCTCTGCCCCACTGCTCATTCCCACCTTGCCATCCCAGAGCCATCAGCTTCTCAGGTATGTTAAGGCATACCTGCCTGCCCAAAATCATTTAATGACCCATTTCATTAAGTAACCAGCCCACCCCACTTCCTAACTCATCCCAGAGTCAGGCAGCCCACGCCTAAAACAGTGTCTTCTGTTGCCACTTCAGGCCCTTTTTCTTTTCTTCCTGAATGTAACAGGCCCAAGGACTAGATAAGATCTGTCCACCCTGGGACAATTTTTAATGCCTGTGAAGGCTCCTACCACCCCATTCCTCAGCTGCCCTTTGCTTCCCCAGAGCAAACATCATTGCTTAAGAGATGGAGACTGATCAGCACCTTCCCTGTACGTGTGAATACCAACTGCAGCCTACAGCATCTCCTGGTGCCTTCTCTGAGAATGCCTGGCGACACACAACACTGCTGACACATCCAGACCGATGGCCCTCAGTCTGGCCCTCCAGTGTCTTTTTTTAATACCTGCGGGAAGGCCAAACTACACAGCAGCTGACATCAGGCAGCGGTGACATTGAGCAACACTGACAGTCATGCCACAGCAGCAGTGCTGCGACACCTTCCAGCTTCGCCTGTTGAGAAGGCTCAGGGTTGTGGGTCAACAGCTCGATGTCTCAGTGGAGACCAGTGACAAGTGGCATTCCTCAGGGATCAGTGTTGGGACTGGTGCTGTTGAACATCTTTGTCAGTGACATGGACAGTGGGATTGAGTGCACCCTCAGCAAGTTTGCTGACACCACCAAGCTGTGTGGCGCGGTCGACACGCTGGAGGGAAGGGATGCCATCCAGAGGGACCTGGACAGGCTGGAGAGGTGGGCCACTGCCAACCTCATGGAGTTCAACAAGGCCAAGTGCAAGGTCCTGCACCTGGGTTGGGGCAATCCCAAGCACAAGTACAGGCTCGGTGGAGAGTGGATAGAGAGCAGCTCCGAGGAAAAGGACTTGGGGGTACTGGTGGATGAAAAGCTGAACATGAGCCGGCAGTGTGCTCAGGCAGCCCAGAAAGTCAACCATATCCTGGGCTGTATCCAAAGAAGTGTGGCCAGCAGGTTGAGGGAGGGGATTCTCCCTCTCTAGACTGCATCCAGCTGTGCAGCCTTCAGCATAAGGAAGATATAGGCTGGTTGGAGCGAGTCCAGAGGAGGCCACAAAGATGCTCAGAGGGCTGAAGCACCTCTCCTATGGAGACAGGCTGAGAGAGTTGGGCTTGTTCAGCCTGGAGAAGAGAAGGCTCCGGGGAGACCTTATTGCAGCCTTCCAGTACCTGAAGGGACTACAGGAAAGCTGGGGTGGGGGGTAAGGGACTTTTTACAAGGCCCTATAGTCACAGGACAAGGGTTAACGGGTTTAAACTGACAAAGGGTAGATTTAGACTAGATAGAAGGAAAAAAATTCTTCACGAAGAGGGTGGTGAGGCACTGGAACAGGTTGCCCAGAGAAGCTGTGGATGCCCCATCCCTGGAAGTGTTCAAGGCCAGGCTGGATGAGGCTTTGAGCAACCTGGTCTAGTGGAAGGTGTCCCTGCCCATGGCAGGGGGGGTAGAACTAGATGGTCTTTAAGGTCCCTTCCAACCCAAACCATTCTGTGATTCTATTTCATATCAAGAGAGACAAACCTGTAGGGTTTTTTGGCCAGTTTCTGGAGTTTGGTGGTGGCTGCAACATGCTCCTTGGGGCCCATCAGGCTTCAAAATCACAACCCAGTATCTGCCCTCTGGGTGTATCACCAGCCCTTGGATATCACAACTAGCACTCACATTTATTCACAATGCTCTGACACCACCATTACCAGTGTTGCTAAAAAGCAAAGATGAAGAAATAAAAGAAACAAAACTATTTACACTAAGATTAAATCAGGATAGCTCTGTTCTTTGTGACAAGTTAACAATTTCTGGCAAAGCCACATCCCAAGCTCTTCTCAGCCACTACCCTCTCTTGATGACCATAGTGGCTTTCACAGTTGCTCTCCCTTCCAAAATCATCCCTAGGCCAAACCAGCAGTCATCTGCTTGAAGCCTGTCCTGTTCCATCTTTACAAGGGAGCTAGGCTTGCCCTGCCTCTTAACCCAAACTGGCATCACTTCACTTTGTGAAGACATTAATATCTGTTTTTTGCACTCAGGAGACAGTACCAGTTAAACAAAAACCAACAAAACCAACACTTAAGAACACCTTGACCATCCTTCTTCCTACCTTCCCCTTCCAATAGGGAATGTAACTTCAAACTCTCCAGCTAGAATGCATCTTCAACTCAAAGAGGAGGGACTGAAGCAACCCTTTCCACCAGAATAATGTGAAATAGTGCTCTGTATCTGCACCGCTGTTTAACTGGCCAATAGCACTTGATACAGAAAGGTTCACAACAGCATACTACTACGGGTGTTTTTATTGGTCACAGGCAATGTTACAAAGCAGTTACACTGAATAATGCTGTCACAGTCATATCATGACAGGAGGTTGCTACAACACATTGAAATTTCACACAGTGAAACTACTTTAGGAAAAAAAATCATGCTTGTAACAGAAGATCAAGTAAATACATTTGTTAAACAACAACAACAAAAAAAAAAATGGTCCCAGGATTTCAGCCTGCTCAGACTGAAGGTAACAAAAAAAACCTTCCAAAGATTTCATCAGGCTTTGAATCCAGCCCTTGGCATCCCCTGGCCAAGCAGTAAGGTAAAACACCTTTCTGCTCAGTCACAGGCCCTTCATTCTTCTACCATACTTGTGCGTGATGCATTTTCTTCTTCTCAAATAAGAACGTAAAGGTGTAATTGACTACGCCAAACTTTGTACATAACAGAGCCCATTTTGTCCTATCAGGTGTAGAGAGTGGGAGAGTTACAAAGGTGGTAGTATGCGTACTGGAAAAGGAAGGAGGTCCTACACTCCTGAGTGCCTGTAGCAGCTGTTTGTAGCCTGAAAACTTCCAGGAAAGCTTTTTCCATGCTTCTTCAGCATTGGCATCTGGTAGCGTCTGCATTCAAGATGGGTAACTTCTGTGAGCTGGAATTTGGGTGACACAGCACTAAGAACAGCTACAAATCCAGCAAGGATCTGGTCATTTGCTGCCAACAGACAACTGAACAGCCTGTGGGCATTTACTGTAGCGATGAGAAGTGCCATTAGAGAAGATCATCTTACTAGTCTAAGGCAACAGTCTCAGTGCAAAATTACCTTTTCATGACATAAATGGGATTTCAAAACAACAGCTGACAAAACCATGCACCAAATTGAGAAAGACACCTTTGCTTCATGAAAGCAAGATCTTTTCATCAAATCTAAGTTTAGTTTGAAGTAAGACAACTATTTTGGGGTGCTCAGAGATCTTCCTGAATTAAGTTCTTCTGATTTGCAGGTGACTGAATGCATCCTGTACCTGCTCATTCTGCGGATAGATACACAACGTGCAAACAGTGCGCCAAATTCTCCTTCAGAGGTGGAGACACCAGAGGGCAGCAGCTTCCTAAGGCTTCCCAGCCAACAGGCCTCCTCAGCCAGGCGCCTCGTCTGTGTTGGGCAAGTTCCAGCTACCAGTCCTACCGACGTACAGCTCCTTGCACCACCGCACTCCATTATTTTTACGAGCCCCAAAGCTCAGAATGTAATTCATGCTTCAAGGAAAACTGGAGTGAGAGGTGCTGTTGTTTATATTTCAATGGTCACGAAGGATGTAGTTATTTTCCAGAACTGTATCTGCTAATTATCTGTATTTCTATAGTAGAATACTGATCGTAACCCATGCTTTATAAGCTTCTTCCTCTCCAGTGCATATAAAAGATAAAATTTTTGTTCGTGTAGCACTCTATGATGATCAAACGCTGTTAGCATTTAATAATGGACATGGTCTACCACATTCAAGCGGGAATGACAGGAGCTGCCATCCTGTGTTACACGCAGGAGTCCCTGAGATACAAAACGGCACCCACTCTCCTCCCTACTGGCATTTTGGTCGAGAGTTCTCAATAAATGTTCCAGCTTATTTTAAAAAAATGTTTTCATTAAAACCAGTCTATTTACAAATCAGTTGTGAAATGGACAACAACATCCCATGGGAAAAAAATCAGACCGTTTCAAAAGTTGGTAAATATGTTTTTAACTGTAAAATCTCAGATACTGGCTGTTTTCTCTCTTGATAGAAGCTGAGTCCAGTAAGTAATTCTACATCTCTGATCCGAGCAGTATGAAACCTCATCCTCTCTTCAACCCACATGGACTCAGTCTTGCCATCCTATTGGGACAGAGGAGAAAAAAAAGGGTTTGTAAAACATCTTTTTCTGACACACATTTAATCAATTAGCAAAAGACATTTTGATGTTTTATAAAGACAGAAAACAGTAAGAAACAGAGCACTGGATTATAAATAGTTATAAGCTTGCATGAATTTAGTATCTGCTGGTACTTCCTCAAGTATACAGAACTTGGGGCTGCACCAGTGAAAGTCTGTGATAATGGGAATGGCAGGTGAGGTCCAGCATCTATCCACCACCTCCGATAAAACTATTTAAGACCTGTGCCCAACTTGGGTAGTGACTTGCGTAATTCTTCCCAGTAGGATACATCCACACACTTCCCATGCTTTGTTCTGGTTTATACAAAATATAGCTATGAGCATTCCCATCGCAGTGACAAGGAACCTGAACTAAAAGTAACCTATGCTCCTCCTCAGGAACACTGGTGGTCTTCTGGGTATACATCTGGGTCAAGCATTGACCTTTCTTGGTGGATGACTCCTCTTCTCCTAGAAGCCCTTCATCCTTTACATCTGTGGACCAGATACTTACAATGAAGAGGTCTATATGTATCACACTGATTGTCTCAGCATACTCTGCCTCTACCCTGCTAGCTCTAAGTTTTGTTCTGGAGAAGAGAAGGCTCTGGGGAGACCTTCCAGCACCTTCCAGTACCTGAAGGGGGCTGCAAGGAAGCTGGGGGGGACTTTTTACAGGGGCCTGTAGTGACAGGACAAGGGGAAACAGGTTTAATTTGAAAACAGGGAGGTTTAGATTAGATATCAGGAAGAAATTCTTCATGGAGAGGGTGGTGAGGCACTGGAACAGGTTGCCCAGAGAAGCTGTGGATGCCCCATCCCTGGAAGTGTTCAAGGCCAGGCTGGATGTGGCTTTGAGCAACCTGGTCTAGTGGAAGGTGTCCCTGCCCATGGCAGGGGGGTTGGAACTAGATGGTCTTTAAGGTCCCTTCCAACCCAAATCATTCTATGATTCTTTAAACAAGGAACTTTTATTTTCACATTTGAGCATATATACAGACTTAACATAATTCCATCTACAAAAATACTGTCTTCTCTCTCTCTAGGTGACCATGATAGCCTGTACTGTTTTTACAGTCTAACTAGTTAATCTTTGATATCCAGCAAAACAAGCTCAAGCCTGATTTCAGATGTTTATGGGGACTGAACAGACTACTTACTGCACAGCTTTCACTGTTGTCTTCTCTGTGAGGTACAATGAAAGACAAGGCATCTAGAGACCCTTCACACTCCAGTGGAGTTTCAGAAGTATTTTTACAAGTAGTCAGCACAATGAAGTAGTGAGTTGGAACTGGAACCTCTGAATTACCGGGATGTCTGAAACAAAAGATCTTTCTGTGAATCCACGAAATCATACTTGCACAAAGAACAAATGACAGCAATCAGCTATATTCTGTTATATATATATATATCTCCAGCTATTTAGCCCAAAGAAAGTTTAGCCCTAGAATTAAAATTACAGATTATTATTTTGCAAATCAGGTTTGGCTTGTAGGCTGATCTAAGTAACAAGTTTGATGAAGCATAACGACAAACTGATTTACCATAAAAATGTGTAACAATCCAGAGTAGGTGGAGAGTTCAGCCTGAGCCCAGAAAGCCACCTGCCTGCTGGCTTGTACCAGTTTTACTAACCAGTGTATTTGTGCTCAACAACTTAGTAGTGGAACGCTGCCAGCTCAAGAAGCAACCACCAGGACACCAGGGATAAATCCCTGCTGCATCTATTCCTACCGGCAGTGTCATAGGATTGAAACATTCTTCCACATTCAGAAGCTTCTCTTACACTTCAACTTCAGGATTCAGGGTGACACATTTTGAGAGTGCATTTTCTCTTTGTGCTTGTTGCTTATTTCTTAGCTTTACACTTGTGTATCTACTTAGGGCCATTTGTCTCTGAACCAATACAACCAATGTCTGGAAGATGCTTTCCTTGCTAACAAGGTTCACAATTACTTTTTGACCACTAATGAAGCGAAGAAACAGGATTAGAATGTGAAAGGTTCCCACCTTTTCACCTTTTCTGGGGTATCATAGAGCCCATCAGAGTCATAATCAAACACAGGACCACTGACTACGTTGACACCGCTTCTGGCTGCCGCATATTCAGGTAGCAGGTATTGATGGAAGTAGTTCCACAACACTGAAACACAGTAATGGAAGTGGGAAACATGATCTCCAAGAAGCTGTTAATACAACTCCCCAGAGTTTTCAGTGGAATATAAAGAGACAGGATAAGCTAGGAAAATAAGTTACACAGGTGTTTAAAGGTGACATGTAACTGAGCAGCAGCACGCACTGCAGTATCTGCTGGCACCATGCTGTCAGTCACTCTAACCCCAAACATGACTGAGGGAGGCAGAGTGATGCTGCTCCTCTGGGGCCTTGTGTTTTTCTTTGGAAACCCAATCATTAAGCAGCTAGAGGAGGGACAGTGAGGAGACCATGCCTGTCTGTGTCTTGCCCCACTATCAAGCTGGCCTGGTTAGTTTGTTCACTCACACCTGTGAACTCAGAAGTATCTTACCAATATGATATTTTTAATTACAGCTGACCACTATTCCATTACAAAACAGGACATCACTTTTGTCCAGAGGAAGTGCCGCAGTTACCCTTCTTTTTCACCAGGAGTATGTTTAATCTCCCTCAGCCAACCATCTCATTCTCTCTCACCCAGGAAAGCCCAGGTCTTCGTATCTTTTCAGCCAGAGACGATTCTTTTCCTGTTTGTTTAGTGACTGAGACCATAGATTCCTGCCTGGAAATTCATCTGAGTTCAGAAGACATTCCTAAACTGGAAATTAATTTAACTCACAATTATATACAGTATCTGGGTTCTCTAGAAGATATTCATTATAAAACCCTGATTAGGTAGGTAGCAAAATGCAAACGATGTCAGACATTAAACGGAGACATTTATACTATGTTCCCATGTAATAAGCCAGTTGATTAGGAATCAACCTCACAAAAGGTGGGACTTTTTCACAAGAGCAATAATCCTACTTCAAGGAACTTCTCATTGAGGTAAGAAGCCCACAGTCATGCACATCTTATCAGAGGCAGCTGAGCCAGAGATCACTTGCATGGTTTGGAAGTAAGCAAAAAAAAAAAATCAGCAGTTTTTCTTACATTCAACTGTGCACACAGAATATTCATACAGATAAAATACCTTTAAATGCAGGATACATTGGCACAATGTTGCTGGTAAGCAAGGCATCATAGTGAGGTTTCTTTCCATCTGTCATAAAATCTAAACCAAAAAAACAATAAATTTCGGTTTTGTTACTCTGAACTTGTGTTTTCATGCTTTTAAAGACAGGTGTAGCAACATTAAGGTGGAGCTGACCTAACTTCACTTTCCAAAACTGATGTGGGTCTAAGAGCTAACTTCAGCACATGCTGGATCCCACCCAAAATAATCTTACAAGCACAAGTAATTGCACTTGTCAGATATATAGCAGAAAAATTTTTGTAAGATTTAAAAATATCAGAACAAATTTTTGAATTGTCAGGAATGGAACAAAATTCACTTAATGAGTGTCAGACCAACTTTTTCTGACTGCAGAATTTAGGCACAAAACCAGGAGTTTTGTTGGAACTTTGCAAAATTAGACTTGATGTGAGTGTTTAAATAACCTACTATTCAGTACTTTATGCAGTAAGGTCAATGTAAAATGCTTCCAAATCAGATCAGCAACAGTTCAAAGAGTTTAACCACTTGTAAACAATTAAGCATTTTGTAATATGTTTGAGAATCAAAGATATATTCTTCACACCAACGCTAAACTGCTTTACTAATGACTACATATGGCACACAGCGGTATATTTGAAATAGAAAATAAATTTATCAAGGCAGGTTTTTACTTAATACAACCACCCTAAATTTTACTTTGGATAGTTCCAACTAACAACTGTCATATAAAGGGACTTTGCAATTTACTACCTTGCCAGACTTGACTCAAGGTTTACATGTTCTTTCCATTTTATTCTACAAGATGCTCCTTTAGAAACCCGACAAGTTCCAAAGCTTTCGGGAAATAGTAAGTGACCCTGGACAACCCACCAGCTGCTGAAGCGCCTAAAATGTTATTCTTTCTCATATGCTGAAGTGAACTGCAACAATTGAGTAACTACTGCTTTATACTCTGATTAGTTATCAAGAACATCTATTGAAGACGATACCTACTACATTCCAAATTATTGTATCAGATATGCTGTGTAATGAAGGCAATGTACTCACTTGGTGGAGAAAGGAATCCGTAAGTTAAGCGAGGATGACTGTTGTAGAACAAACATGTCTGGTTATGTTTAAAAGAAATACGAACATCCTTGTGTAAACAGCTGAAGGTATCTTCTGTAGCAGAAACCCATTTGTCCTGTTGAACAAGAAAGTATCATTGTTAAAACCGAGAGCTGACTTACAACAATTGTCTCAGTGTAGGGGACTGCAGAACTCTAAATATTTAGCTGCAACTGCCTTCAACGGTGTGAAGTGACTATAAGATGCAAGAATTGTTCCTCTTGTCAGTGGAAAACAAGCTCTCCCATCCATTCTATGCATGTTGGAAGTGAACAGAATTGCAGCATTTCGGTTGAGTTGAGCGTAACATCTTCCAGAAGAGGACCTAGAGGTGCCCATTAAAGATAACGTGATCTACTGTAAATGTACTTGTTCATTCAAGCTAGGAAACAGATGTGGTGGTGTTAACCATCTCTTTCCTCTGGGCCTCTCTCTTACAGTAACCGGTTTCTTAATGACACTAGCCTCAAAATATTTAGGATCAAGCAAACCTTGCCAGAGTTGAGTTAAATGTATTATAACAGTCATTATTTAAAAAATTAGAATTCCCAGATAATCAAACTAAAAAGAATCCTTTACTGTCCTGATTACTCTTAAGCAAGATGCAGCTTCTAAGTTTTCTTTGAATGGGAAAGGCCAAATTGGAAAACACTTTCATTCACAAGGTCAGTGGTCTGCATGAGCACATGCATCCTAGCGCAGGGTTCAGGACAGCAAAGACCAGATTTATCTCCACTGACCTCTTCCCCACCTACCCCCAGTCTGAGAGAAGGATCGGATCAGGGCACGAATGGTTCAAGATAGCCCAGAGGTTGTTTTTTCATAAGGATCCTGCCACATTACTGCTTTGAAGACTGCTTTAAGGCTACAAAACCCACAGTGAGGCCAGACTTTTAAGGACAGCACTGGCACACAGGTATAGCAGACCTATGCTGCCAAGCAGTAAACCAGCATAGACTCATAGGGCTTCTGCGTCAATGGCAACGGGCTCTTCACTTCCTGGTGGATCTGCTTGCTCTGGAGGTAAAACTGCAGCTCACTAAGATACAGGAGAGTCAAAGCCAATCCTTATTAGCACAGGAAAGTGAAGAAAAGCTCACACAAAATTTCTCTTTTAATCTCATGTGGTTCTACTTCATACCCTGGAAGATAATATCATGAGCAGACCTAGGAAGCGTTCAGGAATAACTGACATTCAAGCTTTTTTCCTTTCAAGGTTTCTTCTAACCTTTCTTCATATACTCACGTCTTTGTTAACAGTATATGCACTCCACAGAGACATCCTGTAGTCTTTGCTGTACCCACTAACATAGCGGTTATGGAATAGGAGGCAGTAATTATGTCGCTTCTGTAGAACCCTGGGCCGTCCATATGGCAAAGTAAGTTTCTCTGTTTTCTCAACTGCAGCAGAAACAGCGTTTGTTACATTTCAGTTAATACCAGTTGTTAAGCATCTTACTCTTCTATACATCTAAGGTCACCCCTATTTCCAACTGCCAAACAGAAAAATCGCAGTAACAGAACAAAAATTTAATTTTTATATCAAAGGTTTAGTTTCTGTGTCAAGACAATAAATTACTCTATACTGGCTTTGTAATGTAATCATTTAAGTTTCTACTGTACAATATTAAGTTTATATTTGAAAGAAAACATTTTGCCATTTAAAACAGGCTCTAAGTTGCAAAGTTAAAGCCTTTGTTGACTTTGTTTCAATTTAAATATATAATGTGGGATCAGCTTCTACATAACATTTAGACAGGACAGTAACCAACTGTGATTTGAAATCTGCTGAGGGGACTATTTTAGTAGAAAACAAAGCCATATGTAGAAGTGACATTTAAAGGACTAATAAATATAGAGATCTAAATAATATTTTGTTCTGACAGGCTGTCAAGTTATGACAATCAATGAGAGAATATGCAAATTGAAATAAGCAATATACTTGAAATAATTTTAAGGAACATCTAGGCTGGCTACTAGAATTCTTTTCTTCTGTGATAACACTTTCTATATGTAACTAGTAAGTGCTTAATTCATACAATTTATATGGAAATTACTGCTATTAAGACCAGTGCTAAACCAGGTCTCATGATAATCCAAGCCAAAACCCTTCTGTTTCAAAAAGTGTAGGTTTAGAGCCTTAGGCTCCTATTTCTACAAAACAGAACTGAAATAAGTTATGTGCCTGGCCTTGCCATATTTCTTCAATGCTGGGTTCAGCAAGGTACTCAGGCATCCACCTACACATTAGCAGAGTGTTTCAGTGAAAGCACTTAACACACTTAGAGGAAAGCACACTGCATCATACTACCTGGATTTCATTATGATGCTCTCAAGAGTGTTACAATACTGACAGTTACTTTAAAAGGGTTCTGGGACACATTTTAAAAAAATGTCCTGTCATTAGTGGAAAAGATTCCAGAAAGCTCTATCCATTCTTTGTGGCAGAACAAACTACACAAGCCAACAGAAGCTTTCAATTAGCCCTCAATAAGCAGCAAGTACTGGATCCTGCCTGTAACTGGTATTTAAGTCCAGTCCTGAATAGTGAGTTACAGGGGGGTGTCACCAAATAGACTTTATTTGCATAAGAAACCAGGATTTAATGAACACGCACACACAAGGCAAGGTCTCTATCAGCCTATTTCTTTCTGACAGCCTAATCATCTTGATGTCATCTTTTAAGGTATTAGCACCAAGGGCCGTATTTCATTTTGACTTACAGTTTTCGTGATTAACTTACTGTCTTACCTGCTTCATGCACAAACTGATTTATTCTTTTAAGAGACATGAGCATGTCTACAGCCTTGCAAACTGCAGCTTGAACATGGCATGTATATGTCCAAAGAATGGAAATGAAGCATAAGTGAAACAAGCAACAGCTTAAGACTGTTTAACAACTTGACCATATAAAATACCCCTTATGCTTCATTAAAAGCATGTTGCCATCATGATGTCAGCATTTGCAGGGATTTATCATCAGATACTTCCCCATACACTGCTTTTGCTTCCCATTCTGGAGTGCTCATTACTTCAGTGGTAGAAAATTCAAAACTATCAGATAATACATGTGTCAAAGACACACGTATAAAGATTCGCATTTAGTTGAGAACAAATGGTTCAGTAGGACTGTATTTGAAAGCCTCAGAACTGTAGCCCCAGTGAGTATTTCACTTAATTCTTACCTCATGCACTTGAGATCTGCACAGAAGTTTAGACAAACATTTTATATTTTTAATAATTATAAAATTATAGCAAAAATCTAAGAAAGTTCTTACCTTCTGTTTCAGTGAGATTCAAACGCTGATGAAAGTCCCTTATCGGCAAGTCCTATAATCATAAAGCAAAACCAGTAAGATTCTACTAAGTGTTCTACAAAGCATATTATGAGCCAAGAGTACACTTGGAGTATCAAATGTAACATCTGTCCTGCAAGTTACCCCTATACAGAACTCGCTGACATCTCCTGGAGAGGGGCTACAGAGAATTTGCAGAAACAAATTGTTTTTGCCACAAGCAAATCCACAACCCAAACACACTGCATTCACAGAAGGGAAATTTCAACATAATTAAGCGAAGCAAGCAATAAGTGAATGCTTTCCCCATCAAAGCTTGCTTTTGTGGCATTTTCCAGGCTCTTCAGAGCCGAATGTGACTTGATGTAAGCCAACTGCAAAAATGAATGCACAAATACAGGCCTAGTACCCACGGCAGGGTTTGATTTTGAAACCAACAGTAGAGGACTGCAAAACCAGTGGGTAAGAGATAAACACTGGATAATCCAGAGTTTCACTGTTTGAATACAACACTGACACCTGTTCCCACAACTTTAACCATTCCCATACTTACCCCTGTCCTGCAGGAGCAGCCAAGGCTCACTGAAAAAGCTCTTTGTCCCATCACAGAGCATTCAGAAGGATGGCTTACTTCTTTGGGATGGTGGGGGGTGTAAACAGGTTTCCTTAAAAGATGGTTTAGGCGTCCATGAGTTCCATTGTTTGGGGCTGGTTTCAAATCAAGCAAGTCTATGAAAGAATTCAAAATTATATTAACAGGATAAAAAAAGACTAATACACTGCTGCTTGTACTGTGATTACAAGTATGGGTGAGTCAAAGCTGCACTGCTTCCCAATCGTAACACCCAAAAGGGAAAGCAAAGTAACCCCTTTAGAAGGAAGCACACATGTCCTTAGCCAGACTAAGGATGGTCTTAGTCTGCTTGCAACACCCAAAACAGAAAGCAATGTACCCCTTTAGAAGGAAGCACACATGTCCTTAGCCAGACTCAGGATGGTCTTAGTCTGCTTGCAAAGGGGGACAAAACAAACAAAAAATGAGAGGCTTACATCTCAGGGGAAGTGAACATGCAGCATCCAAACCTGCAGTGGGGGACAGAATGGGAATCTCAAACACATGAAGCTAGTGACTACATAATACTGAAGCTTTCTTTGGGGAATAAGTTTGGGGCTTTCTGGGGTATTTTTTTTTTGTGAGGGTTTTTTTTTGTTGTTGTTGTTTAAGGGTTTGGGTTTTTTTAAATTATTTAGAAATCAAATACGTAAGCTTCAGTTAACAAGCACCACTAAATGGTAAAGCCATAAAAGAACCTAGTCAGCACATAAGTTTGTCACTTAGGTCTAAAATGTTAAGCTTCAAAATCCTCAGGAAGTAGTCTAACCACAAAAACATCTATACCCCCCAAACACCTAAACCTCTGCCATTAAAGTAACTTGAACAACTAAAAGCTGTCTACTGCCACTACTCAGACACTTAGACACCTTCAGAATACTGAACAAATCAAGCCCTGCTTCATGCTTAAACCTCACTAGCATTCCTAGATTTGTTGTTCCTCCACTTGACTCATACTGAATCTATGAAATCAGACATTTTCAAAAGACAGCAGGTGATGAAATGCACTTGTATCCAAAAGCTTGGTGTCTAGATCACTCCCTGAGAGCACAAGAGTCAGAGCTGAACTTCCTTTCCTACATGGCGAACTGAACACGTTTCTCCCTGCACTATGCCACACCACTCAGATAATGTTCCCTCAAGATGAAGCCACTTTGCTTTGGAAAGAAGAATAAAGCCTTTCTAATCCTAGCAGTCCCTGCTCTCATGAATACAACACAAAGCAGTGAAAAACAAATCAGAACCAGCCATGGAACTCAGGTCCCCACTTCAACAACTAGATCACATTGTTCTGTTCTTATTATATTGAGTATCTAGGAATTCACAGCACTCCAGAAATCCCTAAGTCTGGCACTTTAAATGCCTTGGAAAACATGAGTTGAAATTCCCAGATTCAGACAAGACAATTACAGCATCACAGAGTGGTAGGAGTTGGAAGGGACCTTCGGAGATCATCTAGACCAACCCCTCTGCCAAGGCAGGTTCATCTAGAGCAGGTTGCACAGGAACACATCCAGGTGGGTTTTGAATATCTCCAGAGACAGAAACTCCACAACCTCTCTGGGAAGTCTGTTCCAGTCCTTTGGCACCCTCAGAGTAAAGAAGTTTTTCCTCAAGTACAGGTAGAACTTCCTGTGCTCCAGTTTGTGTCACAGGAACACACCCAGGTAGGTTTTGAATATCTCCAGAGACGGAAACTCCACAACCTCTCTGGGAAGTCTGTTCCAGTCCTTTGGCACCCTCAGAGTAAAGAAGTTTTTCCTCAAGTACAGGTAGAACTTCCTGTGCTCCAGTTTGTGCCCATTGCCTCTTGTCCTGTCGCCAGGCACCACTGAAAAGAGTCTGGACCCATCCTCTTGACACCCAACCCTTTAGATATTTTTAAGCATTGATGGGATCCTCTCTTGGTCTTCTCTTCTCCAGGCTAAACAGACCCAGCTCTCTCAGCCTTTCCTCACAAGGGAGATGTTCCAGCCCTCTAATCTTCTTAGCTGTCCGCTGGATTCTCTCCAGTAGTTCCCTGTCTTTCCTGAACTGGGGAACCCAGAACTGGACACAGTACTCCAGATGTGGCCTCCCCAGAGCACAGTAGAGAGGGAGTCTCTTGGTCTTCTCTTCTCCAGGCTAAACAGACCCAGCTCTCTCAGCCTTTCCTCACAAGGGAGATGTTCCAGCCCTCTAATCTTCTTAGCTGTCCGCTGGATTCTCTCCAGTAGTTCCCTGTCTTTCCTGAACTGGGGAACCCAGAACTGGACACAGTACTCCAGATGTGGCCTCCCCAGAGCACAGTAGAGAGGGAGGATGACCTCCCTTGACATGCTGGCCACACTCTTCTTAATACACCCGAGGATACTACTGGCCTTCCTGGCCATGAGTGCACAATGCTGGCTTGTGGTTAACTTGCTGTCCACCAGCACTCCCAGGTCCTCTGCAGGGCAGCTTTCCAGCAGGTGACCCCCAGCCTCTATTGGTGCCTGGGGTTGTTCCTCCCCAGGTGCAGGACCCTACACTTGCCCTTGTTGGATTTCATTAGGTTCCTCTTCACCCAACTCTCCATCCTGTCGGGGTGTCACTGAACAGCAACGCAGCCTTCTGGCATATCAGCCACTCCTCCTTAGTTGAAACTTTAAGTGCTGAGATGTTGTACAGAAGGGAGACAGTATCTCTTCTCTGGCTGCACCATGCAAGGTGGTGCCGTTGGGCATCTCCATGAGAAACGCTAGAGCCCCAAAGGCCACGTGAAAGAAGATGCTTTTCTACAGTCTAGAAGGCACTAAACATTTTCCTTGCTCAGGGCTTAGATAAGTCACCTCAATTTCCTCTATGAAAGTTAATGTGCTGACTTTTGCCCATCCTGTTCTTCTAATTCTTTCTTTGTAGGATGAAGGAAATCTACACCTCAGTGACTGCACTTAAAACATCAGATCCATCATTGAACTTGCTTCACCGAGATGCAAGTGAGGACACTACTCCCTCCCCTGCAGCATACACAGAACACATCGGGGGGCACAAGAAGATGGTTCAAGATCAACCATGACTTGAAAAGACAGCAAAGCATACAAGGCTGTAAGACATGCTTCCTGAGAGTGGCCTGTCTCCTGTTCCAGCAAAAAATTTAAACACATGGTTTAAATATGGTATACCTGAATATCGCCACTGATCTCATGCATGTGCAGTGCTCCTGTTAAATGTTTTCTGGATCAAACCCTTTGGTAATACTGTCTCTCACAGATGCAGATGTTAGAGCAGGTATAGATCCTGGCAAGAGAGAAGTAGGCAGGAAATAACAGAACACAGGTGAATACCTCAAGGGGAATAAATGAACAGAAAGCAGTAGAACTACAGATAGGCTTTCAGAGAAACCATGAAATACAAAATGAAGAGGGGACAAAGGAACAAGAAGTTGCAGTAACGTTGTGTTTGAAAGGGAGGAGGGGAAAAGGGCTGCAAGTTGTCTATTTTTCAGAAAGAAGTGCCACTTCTCTGGTGCAGTGTACTGTACAGTGTCAGAAAAGAAAGTGAAGAATATCTGCATATGGAGTGGGCTGTCTGTGATCCTCAAATATAGAAGCAGACTGCATGGAACAGAAATCAATCATGGATTCTAGAGTGACACCACAGAGGGGTGAGGAACAGGAAACCCAGCTACTGCAGAGACAACTAGATTCCAAAGCAATGGGACCACAGACAAGACAGTTGCAGTCCATCAAAAGGCCAAAAAAAGCATATTTGAAACACCTGTTGTATTAGGCACTAAGAATGGACAGGAAAACATCCAAATATAGAATATATAAATTCAACAAGTGAACGTATGTATTGTAATAAACCTCCTCCCAAATTCATCATTGTATGAATCAAGTAAACAAAAAAATGTAAAAGATTCTTTAATTCAGATAAAATTTAAATTATTTATATCAAGTAACTAAAATTCTTAAAATATGGTAAACAGCAAATAAGGAAAACCATGACAAAACACAAGAAATTGTTCAAGTGTATAAAAAGCAAAGGGGGTGACAGACTCAGGCTTTCTGGAAATGACCTGCCTGGCAGCTGCACCCATACCCATTACTATGCTTGTCATTTATTGTTCTGCCTGAATAAGACCACCTGAGTGATTAATATCATAAAGCCTCTATTCAGATAGAAGGGAGAAATGTCCCTTCTTGATGGTAGGGAGATTGTGCAATAGTCAGTTTTAGTAGAGGTGAGTCAAAGCACCAGTTCTGGAACAGCCACAGGAACAGAGTGACCAGTGGAAAGGAGATACACAAGGTGGCCTGACCAGTAGGTCCTAAATAGCTGTTAGTTGTTTAGAAGCTGTAACTTTGAGAAAACACACAGCTTATTTGTGGAAAAGAACAAATTTCTAAGAACAATCAGAAATCTGTTATTAGAAGATTTACAATGCCCCAAAAAATATTATATATGGTACAGAACAAAGATGACCCCCATCAATTGTACTTACCACACATTAAATTATATACTTCAATGTTCTCAAATGGATCAACTTGAGTACTAAACTTGAATCCTGGTCCAAACCCAATAAAGATAGCCTAGGATTTACAGAGACAAAATAAAGTGGAACTCTGTTTATGACAAGTAGAAACAGAAGATATCTGCATACTCAAGGGGCATTTTCTTCCAAGAAATTAATCTTTACATTACCAACATGGTAAGAATGAAGTCAAAAGCATGTTTGTCTTTAAAAAAAAAAAGGTAAATGTGTATAATTTTTAAAAGTAGTAAGAGTATTAGAAAACCCAATTCTGTCTCATTGTTGCTTTAAAAAGTTGCCTCCAACCTCTTATGAAGTCCCTTGCTCTTCTCTGCTTTTGAAGAAGTTAATTAATTTTCTTAAACGCTTTAAGAGATTTAATAGAAAACCTGAGCCAAAATAACTATCACATTTCAAGCCCTGTAAAAAATTTGGAAGCTTTTAACTTAAGGCTATAAAAAGATCTATGCAATGTTTTCAATGGTTTAAGCAACGGCAAGATCCTAGGTTTCTACACCTGGTTTGCAGCTGTTCATCCTTCTTCTTGCACCATTTCCTGAGCTGCACTGGCACAAGCCATCATGTAGCCATACAGTGAACCTGATCCAGGAACGCAGCCAGCTCAGAAAGCTTTCATTTTTCCTGCTGGCTCTTGTTTTGGTTCAGTTCTCCGACCTTAATGCTGCAGCCGCACAAAGCTTACACTAGCACAGAACAGGGTTTGCTGCAGAAGAAGCAAGAGGAGGCAAGGGCAGAAAATGTTTGAACTCAGATGCTGCCAAAACGATTGTTTTTAAAAATTATCCTGAGATATTCAGCTTATTTTTAACTAAGTGAAACAGATTGCACCTGTCTACGGTATCAAAATACTGAATGAGCCAATGATGCTTTGCACTCCATGGCACCATCCTGAGTAGGATCTCAAAGCTCTTTGAAAATAATGCAGTTGCCTCAGATTTCATAGCTGTGTGGCAAAAAGAGGCTAGAAAATAAACTTTTTTTTTTTTGAGATTAAAGCGTAACACAGGCTGTCATTCGGTAACTGTAGATACTAAAATCTGGAGGCTCAGATAAATGTAATTTGAACCAGATGAGGCAGTAACATGCTACCTCCTTTCTGTTGAGCTAGGTAACTACAGAGCATGAAATTTATGCTGCCGCAGTGTTAGTCACAAAAGGATAAGTTACATCTGTTTTAAGACCAGTTCGGAATGCTATGAACTGGCAAAAAAAGTTTGAGTAAAGTCAACCTACTGAAAAAAAAAAACAAACCCTAAAGCAGAGGATAGGCTAAGTGACTTCCCTGAATTAGATGGAGCTGACTAAGATTCTGATTTCATGTATTCCTGTTATCCTTTCCCATTTCTCATTAAAAGATGAGTTTTGTGACTCTCCTTATTTTAAATATGGCTGACATGCTCTCTCCTGAATGGACTACCTCAAAACAGCGAGGCATAATTTACCATGACACACTAGAATTACAGAGTTGGCAGATCATTTAGCCAACTTTCGCAAAAGACAGAATCAGAAGTAATTACATTATTTCTGAAAGACGCTTGTCTGACCAGTTGCTAGGTACTTCCTGTGGTGGAAGCTCCACAGACTTACAGGGCAAGTTGTTGTACTCATTAATGGTTTAAAAAAAGTTTTTTTAGATCCACTCTTAGTTATTGCAGTTGAACCCTGTTACTTCTGTTTTAAGGCAACCCAGAAAACAAGGAAAGGACTAGCCTTACAGACCAGGGGACTGGCTGTCTGGGGAACAACTTGGCTTGCAAGGCCCTAGGTGATGTAGTGGACAGCAAGCTGAATGCGAGCCAGCAGCACACCCCAACATCCTGTATTGTATAATCAGATGCTCAGCCAGAAGACTGAGGGAGGGGATTATCCCTCTATACTCAGCATTTCTTTACACCACAATGGGATACTGCACCTCCAACTAAGAATGACATCAGTGAAGAATCATCACAAATTCAGTAGGGGGACCCCTAAGGTGGTTGGGGGCTGAAGCTCTTGCCCTGTTTTGCGTTGGAGGTGGTAAGACAGACCTCCCAATGACCCTTCCAATCTGAATTCTCTTCAGAATTACAATTACTGTATTTTTTACTGTATTTGAGGAGGTAAGTTTTCTGATTTTTTTCCAATTTTAATGTCACAACAAAACAACCTGGCACAACTTTATACCCTTACCAGCACAGTGAAATCCCTGGGGTAAGTCTTGTTGGGTTTTTGCCCAACTCCTACAACAACAGAATGCCACCCTGTGTGGGTTACCCAGCAGGTCACAATAGCAATCCTACAAATGCTTGATTTCTTTAATTGCAGATCAAAGTGCCACACATCTTGAAAATAAGAAAGTCTCAACATCCAGCAAAACACAACATTCAGAAATAGGAACTAAAATAGGAGCTAAAGTAAGAACTAGCATAAGTTTAAGTCTCACCTGCATACTGGGGAAACGATTGTCTGAGCCATGGAATCCACCTGTGCAGCTTTTAATCTCAAGCGGTTTCCTATCAAAAATTCACAGTTTATATAACTCAATTTACAAGTTGTATAAAATACATTCAGTGATGCATTGTTTACTTGTCTGTTTAAAGATTCTTAGAGGCTTGTCCATAAAGAATAGCAAGGTCTTTAAGCTCTGGAAGAGAATGCTTTCAGTGATACATTGTTTACTTTAAAATGTTTAAAGATTCTTAGAGGCTTGTCCATAAAGAATAGCAAGGTCTTTAAGCTCTGGAAGAGAATGCTTTTAGAACCAGAATGATAGTTTTTCTCTGCAAATGTTATGCCTTTAGAATTCCCAAGTCTGTCTATCAGAGACATTTAAAGCCAAATATCAGATGACAAAATGTTTGTTCTCAGGTTAGATTTTTAACTTCACTGTCATTTGGGTAACAGAACTGTACAGTCTTTGTATAAGTAGATACTTAAGATTTTTGTTTGTTTTAAAAAAAAGAATTGTAATGTGATTTAGATCATTCAGTTGGGCATCTTACAGTTTAATAAAAACAAATCTCCAACCTATGCCAGGTTCATACATACAATTGGTGTTTGCAGTTCTAGTAACCCAAACCTGATTTGCATAACTTGCACATGTTTAGTGTTATGCAACAGGGCTTACTGAATACATGGGCTAAAAAAAACTCTTCCCCGATGAAAGCTCTGGACTATTAGAGGTGTTCAAAATTATTCTATTATAGCAGATGCCATTAATCTGGGAGTTGTAAATTCACTAGTCAGAACACGTAAGGTAATTAATAATAGCAGGCTCCACATTCAACATATGCCAACGGATCCCTCTCAAAACTGATTCAGCCAAGTAGCTGTGCACATGCTTGGCTTTCCTGACTCACCTTGCCACACTTTAGGCATTTCCATGGTGTGCTCAAATACCTGACAAAGGGGACCTTAATTTTATAACATTTGTGTCACAATGCCTGTCGCTACCTGCATCCTCAGCAGGGAGAATATCTATAGCTGCCAGTTTAGGTTTGAGCCTCCTCAGGCCAGCAAAAGACTGTAGAGAAAAGCATGCGCTGCTTCTCTGCAATGACCCTTTGCTATGACAAACAAGAATACCATGCCCCAGGAGCTACCATTGAACTCTAAGCATCTGGAGGAGAAAAGCTATGAGGAAAAAAAAAAAACAAAAAACAAGTTATTTGCTGTATAAAGAAGTACTGAAAACTAACTTACCTAGCAAGCTGCCATTGGGACTCCAAATAAAAGTGCAAGGGTTCAATCCGGTCATTATAGGAATAATGGAAACGCTTGGGTAGCTGCTGTTTCATGTAAGCTTTGAAAGGCTGATTTGGTTCTATGCACTGAAACGTTTAAATCAAAATATCAAATGTACATTTCACCAAAAACTTTTGCTTATGTCATGCACAGTTCTAATAACGCACTTCAGTTGCAAAAGGTCTGCAATAACTTCCACTGAGGACAACAGGATTCTATCAGCTTTTAGAGTCACATGGTCTGGGACAAAAATATTAACAACTATTTAAATAACAAACACTGACTGGCATTGCACTCAACAGTTATTAGAAGAATATTTATACAGGATTATGACACAATTTTTCTTGCTGCCTACAGTTGTAGGGAACCAAACAGTACTGCTTAGAATTAGTAAAGAGATACACTGAGGCATGATCATCGTGATACTTTCACAAGTGGTAGGAGACCATCCAGTGCAATAATTCTACAGCTCTGTAATACAGAAAGTAACAAAGAAAGATTTTAAATGGATCACTTGGGGCAAATAGATTTTTATTTTTCCCCACACCAACTAAGATCCATTAGTGATAAAAAAACAAAGCCAAAAAGTAACCACCCAAAACACACCTCTACAGTAATATCGGAATTTTTAATAGCAAAATCATGTATATGCACAGCACAGCTCTCACCAACAGCAGTGTCTGCACAACTGAGCAGCAAACAGATTGTGGTGCAGGGATGAGAACAGAAGTCAGGTGTAGAGCAGAAAAAACAACTCCTTAAGCTGAAACTGACAAAAAAAGTCAATAACCCCTCTCAAGTCTCTTTATCAAAAAGGTGTGAGCAAGAAAAATCTTATGCTTGTCCAGGAAAAGGAGCTGAGCTTTACACTGACTTGGACCTCAGCCAGCATGGTCCAGATACACTAATTCTCTAGCGTGAAGACCATGATACAGCACTAGGTAAGGGTTAGTGAGAAGAAATGAACACAAAACCTTAGTAAATGTACAACCATAGATAGCCATACAATACCTTACTCAACTTTGACCTTCCCTTCCTCTGCATGGAACTACCTCTGTTGTTAACTGTGCAGCATATGTAAGGTCACTGATTCAAAGTCCAAATGGTAGGTAAATAGCCCAGCAAACAGCTGATGCTATAAAATACTTCTAAATATCACTAGAAATTAAGCTAGAGCAACAGATAAGATGACACTTACTGTAAGGTTTCTGACAATGCCTTCATAGTTAACTGGAAGAATCATATGTAAGAATTAGTCACCTAAGTTTAAAAAAAAACATCAGATGTAAAATGAAAGCATTCCCATCATGTAACACAATTAGCTTCATTTCAAAAAATTCTGCACATAAAAGATTATTTTTCTAGAATAAAAACCATATGGAGCAAAACAGTCACTGAAATGTCAAGCTACTGCTTTTATGAAGTGGTACTTCACAGTCTCTCCTCCCCTTGCTTACTTATTTACAGCTTTAAAATTTTAAGCTATTAGCCATAGTTAGAAAAATAATCCTAGAAGGAAAGTTTTCATAAAAGAGGCAGCTAAATGCTGTGCTAATCAAAATGGATTTTTCCTGCTTGCTAATAAATTGCTAAGGAAAAAGAAACAAAATACAACTATTGAGACAGCCGTTTTATCTGGCAAGCATCCTTCAAAAGATGGCCATGTGCAAGCTGGCTAAGATCCAGATGCTTAGACTCAAGCCAAAAGGGACCATTACATCATCTAGTTTGACATTTTGTGTAACACAGGCCCATTACATTTCACACAGTTACTCTGTCCTGAGCCTGATATCCAAATGCTGGACTAGAGTACATAAAGGATTACACTACCAAGGGAACCATTAGTAATTCCGGCATAGATATATGCAGTGCTACAAAGACAGCAGTGCTACTTCAGGCAACCAGCACACGTGTCTGATTCAGTTCTTTCTGAACTTGTTTCTCCAGGGAGAACCTGGAGCTGCATTTGACTCCCACGTTTCCCAAGGAAACACTTAAAACAGTTTATAATAGCATCCAACAGTGAAGTAAACAGGACTTAGTGACCACGGTTGAGACCTACAAGTTTTCAAGGACCTGGAAAACTACAATCTAGACAGAAAAACCCTATCAAACATAAGAAACACCTGTGTTCAATGTTAAAAAGTACTGAAAACAGCAGGCCTTAAACATTCACCTAAAATAAGACTGCATAACGAGTCAAAGTTCAAAATTTGTAAACTTTCATTGATTTTTACTCAGGTTTATTATGTTATTATTTGAAGTTTACTCAACTGCTGACAGGCCATTAGAACTTTTTTTAATAGCTAGGAAATATATTACAATATTCATAGGGCAATATGTAAGAGAGACTAACAATCTAACATTCCTTTAAGACAGACGTCTAATTTATACATGAACTGCTAAATCAGAAAAATTAGGTGAGATATGGGGGGGATTTTTGGGCTGCCTTAAAAACCAGATAACCAATGCAAAGGAATGCCATTCACAAGGTATGAGCATTTGCAGTTGGTCACTCTGAGGCAGCCCACAAAAGCTATCTGTAGGATTCAAATACACTTTCAGACCTGCAACTTCAAATGGTCTTTAAAAACACAGGTGCACCACTCAGTGTTTCCTCTTCATCATTATCCAGGTTGTCCCTAGTTGACCTTCACACAGGTTTACCAATGAAATATGTGGCTCCTAAGCTTGTGCTCATAAAGTACACAGCATATAACAGAGTAACAAAAATTAGTTTAGCAATTACATACAAGAGAAATACTCATCTGGAACATTATTAGGTCTTAGGCGAGCTGCAGGACCAGGTACTACTATGAAATCGTGAACATCGTCCAAGTAATTGTTCAAATATGCTGTTTTTCTGCAGCTCCCTGCTTCCATCCCTACAAAAGAAAGTTTATTTTAAAATGGCAATACCAAAGTAGAGTAGCCTTGCTGGGGTGACATGTGACTTAAGTTGCAGAAGTCAGAAATGTAATTTCTCAGGTCTTTTTATCAGCAACTCCAAGATGTCTGAGCCAAGGAGTCCACACTACTCATGTATGGAAGAAAACAAAACATTACATAGATACACAAAATCAACCATTTCCTCAGCAGAGAAAGACACTCCAATTGAACAGACAGACAAATTTTCTTCTCTGAACAGACAGACAAATTTTCTTCTCTGAACAGAAATCAATCTTTTGAGTCTAAGAATAGTAGTAATAATCGGACCAAGCATTCATTTAGCCCAATATCCTACCTAATAGGGTTCAGTAACATATCTATAGAAATGCTGAAAAAGCATGGCAATTATGGACTGATCTTTCTCCCAGTGTTCCTTGTCAGTTTACAGAAGTCAAAAGGACTTTGAGTTGACTATTGCATTTGAACTCTTACTTCTAATAATTCTTGACAGTTTTACCCCTCCATTAACGTCAAATATTTTTTAAACCTGGATATTTGGCTTGGATCATTCCCGGTGGCAATGAGATCTGCAAGTCAATTTTGTACTGCATGGAAGTGCACATATAATTTATTTGTCAGGAAAAGAAGCAGAAAAAATTATTTGCAAAATAAGGAAGTTATAGTACTAATTCCAGAAATATAGAAAATTAATTACAGAATTAAATCAAAAGGCTTTTTTATCCACTGCCTTCTAATAATGGATATGGGAAGTAATAACCGAAAGGAAGATACAGCTTAGATTTTCACTTCTCCAGCAGTGCACAAGCTATTGCTGCGCAGTTTAATTAAAGGACAGAATAAAATGAAATCTGTCTTCTACAATTCATATTTTTAATTCTATTTCTTTTATTAACTGGTAATGTTAACAATAGGAATTAAAAATTAAATATGAAAATTTAATCCCTCCCTATGTTCACCACTTCTTCCCTGCCTCATAACATAGATGTAGGAAAATCAGACTTCATAATATAAAATGTAATTTTTAAGTAATAGCTGTTTCATTAACCTTTCCAGAAACATGCAAGTAAAGTCAGAATATTACTTTGCAAAAAACAGCTCTTCAAAATTCTGATATATTGTTATAAAATCAAATTTACCATGATCTGATATAAAAATAATGTTCAGGCATTTATGCAAGTTCATTTGCTTGAGACCATCCATCAGCATCCCCACTATGTTGTCCACCCTCTGTAATGCCATAATTACCTGCAGAACAAAAATAGGAATGTAAAATAAGTGTTAGTCCCTTCAATTTAAAAAAACCCAGAATTTATTTCTAGGGAAACTGAACAAATTTAAACTGTAACACTATATGCTAATAAGGAATAAGGAGTAGTTCTTATAGACTGTTCAAGGCTCAGTGCAGTCCAGACATAAATGAAGGACACAGGGGACCTAAAACTCTGCAGTAACCCCCAAACTCATGACAGGGAGCACATACAGTGCGTATTAATGGGAGAAACTGTGAGGACAGGAGAAGACTTACAGCATTCTTAAAAACCCATTAAGCCTGCTTTTTGCCTGCACCTACTTCTCTCAGTTGTACACTCCTTAGTCTTTAATCTACTGGGAATGGACTCAACAGGTACACCTATACTGCTAAATAAAAATGGGAGCCTACAGACTGCCTCGCACCAGCACTGCTCAGGGCTACCTCCATCTACAGAGAACTGGCTCTACCTACACTATACAGCTCTTGGCCCCAAGCAATACTAAGACACAGCTACACATTTTTGTGTGTTATTTCAATTGAAGATGTTTAAAAGCAAGAAGAACGACGACAAAAAAGACCACACCACCCACATAATAGCCACTGAGGGTGGTTTTAAAGTATGAAATTGAAGCTGTTTCTTGCATTACCGGGGCACAACCAAGGAGAACAGGGAATGCCTAAGGACATAGATGCTGATGGGAGCATACCAGAGTGCTGAAGAGAATAGAGGAAGCCAAGCTTGCAGCACTCCTCCTCAAAATTTCTTTTGAGACACACCCTGGAGCAAACTCTCCTTGGAACTGTGACTGGGTATTAGTCTCTGAGCAGACTAGTTTAACAGGATGGAAAAACTCAAAGAACAGGCTACCGGTCTAGCACTGCTCGTGATCAGGCATCTGGTTTTCAAGCTCACTTGCCCAGACACAGGCACTGGGGCTACTTTTGAATACTTGCAAAGTGAACAAAACAAAAAGTATTTTTAAATCAAGTACATTCTGTTACCTCATTAAGCTACCAAAAGCTGTGTTGCTTTGTGTGAACAAAGATGAGATGCTCCTGGGGAGACTATATACAAACCCTCAGGGTCTTTCTCTCCAGAGCACTCCTGACATACAGCAATTCAGATCCACTTATTAACCAAAGAAAAGAATCACCAATTTAAATACATTCCCTATATTGTGGTTCCAATTAGTTGTCTGCTACTTCACTGGACACTTACATTCATCTTACAGTTCCTTATAGGAACTGCTCCCACCTCAAGAGGAGTTAGCAAGAGCTGTTGTCACCCCTGAGGTTAAATACCTAGTTAAAATGCCCCAAATTCCTGGCCATTCAAGACCTGAGAATTTTACAGTGCCCCTGATTTTTCCAAGAGTCTTTTCCTTTGCATTTTTCATTTTGATGTTTGGTAAAATACATAGCTATTTAGTACTTTTGTAAACAGGAGCAGTCCCAAAGGCTTCTTGTTTATACAATGGGTACACCACAGATTGATGGGGTGTATGTGCCTTTTATCACTCGCCTTCTGAGAAGGCATATAATCTAAATGCAGGGAGATAAGAATAATATTCATCAACCTTTGCACAGAGACTGGGGGAAAATGAATGACAATTACATCATGAATACTTGACCACCAAAACTTGGACCCTTGCTCTAGAAGGGTCTTGCCAAATTGGAAGTATACAAACTTTCTGCCCCCCTCCACACTCCCTAAAATCAACATACAGAATTAACAGGAACAGATACAACAACATACAAGACATACTGAAACATGCTTTGGCAATTAAAAAGTTATTGAAATAAAGAAAATAACAATTAGCCTTACTAACAACAATTAGACTTACTAGATTCTAAATAGGCCATTACACGTTTTGTATCAATTTGAATTATGGACAGGCTGTCTATTCAGAGATTTTCTTCCTAGTAAGCATACTGAATGTGGTCTTGGTTAATCTAACATGAACTATGGAATTTTTATCATAAGAGTTGGAGGAAAGCTTCAAATTAAGGAAAAAAAAAAGAAATGAAGAAGCTACTTACTCCACTGCTTACTGGTCCAAACTTATGGCCCGAGGAATCTGGTTCTTCTAAATACAGAGTGTAAAAGTGTGGTCTATATCAAACAGTACCAAAAATGTAATATTTTACATACATGTTGAGACAGTTTGAAGAGATTTTATTTCAAAAACAGATATCAAATATTGGAAACAACACTATCATTCAGAGGAAGGACAATACAAGGGAAAAGAGAGAAATGTAACTTAATTAAGGTTTCAGTCATAGAAACAGACTTGCATTAAATAATATTTTAACATTGTATATATGATTTCTGTTTTAAATTGCATCTTATGCATTATTCTAACACAGTAATTCATTGCAATACAGCTCAAACAGAAACTTACACTTGCAATCGTATACCTACCTTTCACCTTCAGGTAACTGCAGCCAGCGAAGAACAGTTACCACCCTTTCTTCAAAGGGGATTGAGCTGTATCAGAACAACACAAAATTAAACAACCCTCTGTCTCCAAGAACTAAAAAATTTTAGTCACACATTGTAAAAAAAAAAAAAAAAATCAAAAAAATCAATGTACTTAGAGAAAATGGAATTCAATTGAATTCCACTAATGGCTATTTAACAGGACACAAGTTCATCTATGCTAATTGGCTGTGACTCTAGAGGAGTTAACAGCCTGATCTAAAGCTGTCTTGAATTTTGTCTCTATTGATTGAAACGCGATTGGAATAAAGCACATAATGTTGCTTGTGTTTATTATACAAAGAACAATTGGCTTCAAGGTGCAAAATCATGCACAGGTTTCTGTTCCTGTATTATGTTTTGAAAGTGTTTTGGTTTGGGGGTAGGGTTTTTATAAGTGTTTAAACAGTTTGAATACAAGTTCTCATGCTATGTCCCAAAGTAGATAGTCTCTAGCAGATGCTGAAGTAAACAATAAGCATGTTGACCTGTAACAACAAGGCACCCACAAAGCTGATAATTCAGCTACCTAACACAAGTTCACGTAACAATGTACAAGTTTCCTAGAGAAGAAAAAAAAAAAAAAGTAGGTGGTAAGCCAAGAACCAGACCTTCCATGCTTTATGAAAGGTGTAGGATGAAAGTGTGACCCTAGCAAGATAGAAATTAAAAGCCTTTCTTGGGCAAGATTTACAATTATTAAATAAATGGTGCTAATAGATTTATTCAGAATTTTCATTAGGCAGAAAATGTTTAATTGCAGTGAAGAGCAATCACTGACTAAAATATTACTTCCATAGTTTGAAATATTTTCAAAATTTGCAGTGAAAATAGTTTCATATTGGAACAATTTACCAGTCAATAGTAAAACTTTAGCTTTCATGGACAATATCTCGTCAAGACCTGATCCATTCACTGTATGAGGAGTTTGGATTGAATGACTGTAAAGACACCCACAAAAGATTTTTATAAGTCAAAACAGAAAAGCACTAAAGCTTTTGAGCTAGCTGCTCTTCAAGCTGATTTTCCATATCTTCCCTGCAGAAGATTTGCTGAGGAGTGACAGAAATGACTAGACAAAGAATGTATATTATATTGAAACAATGTTAATTGGTTCCTATCTTTTTTCATGTCATGTACAACTACTTAGAAAAGCAAGGAAAAAAGTTTATGCTTTAACTGCTGTAATGGGACAGGCGCCAGAGAAAGTAAATCATTCATCCAAGACACAAGAGTTACATACCTATTGTAGTCTTCATACAGGTTTGGAAAGGTACCATTAACTGCTACATCTGAGCCAGGCCAAAAGAACGTACCTGCTTTTAGCCCTTGGTACATAGCTGTTAGCCAAATCTGCAAGAGAAGAACACTCACCATCATGAGTGCAGGTCACTGAATGATCTGTTACCACTGCCACCAGCTTTGCACCTTTCAGCGGGCTCAAAAACTGAAAATGTTAAGTGAGGACAATCAATTTTTCATGTCATCGCTGTCTGTAATCGAGATACACCTTGCAGCCCGATTCCTTATGGCAAACTCCTGCGTCCCTTCTGCTGCTACAGCAGGGGGAGCCAGGACAGAAGCAGTAACCATGAGCTCCATTGGATGGAGCAGCAATTCAATGGTAGAGCCATGGCTTAACACCAGGAAGACAAAGGGTCTCAAGGACAGTGATGCAAGAAGGGGTGGGAATGTTCTGAGGACCTATGCCCCACATACTCTGAAACATGAGAGCAAGACTTTGGTCAACTCTTCTGATTTTACTGCTGATCTCATGATTTGCGTATTTCCTTTTGCCTTCTGCATGTTTTCCTGCCCAACTCACACACCACTTTCTTCAAAGTGGCCTGCAAAAGTCAACACATGTTCTTTCCTCAAAAAAAAAAAAAAGTCCCACCCCACATGAAGTAGCTGCATCTGTTCCCTTGCTATTCTTCAGGCCTGCACTCATCCAAACTTTCCCATGCCACTTCTTCTTGATGGCAGTTTCAGCAGATTTATTTGCCATCGCTACTATTACTGAACTGGAATTTTCATTTAAAGCCACATCTTCAGACTTAGTAGTAATTTGGGCAGAGTGTAAACCTTTAGTACTGCTTATTACTAAGACTAGTCTGTTGATATCCTCAGAGAAGTTAACTGCAAGCCCACTTCAAATCAGAATAAAATCTGTTATCAACTATTTTAAGCTAGTTTTCTCCCTAGAAAAAAATTTCATTTAAGTTCAATAAAATCGGTCACATTTTGTTTCATTTGTCATTTCGCAGCTCTATTATGGCAATTCCTAATCATGCTGAGTAATGCTTCTTGGCTGACTTAGAAGTACCCTCTCTACTCTTTCAACATCACTATGCATCCAAGTGATATTAAGTAACACAGCAGGCTGATGTGCATTCTCAGCAGTGTATTAGTACTTACAGGCTGTCCTTGGTACCACTGTGGATTAAATTTCTCTTCACTTTTAAGGGTGAAGGATGCATTTCTTTTGGGGTCATACATCTTGTTATCGATTACACCATGAGATTCAGGATACAGCCCCTGTAATTGATGTAAGTGTTATAAAGAAAAAGAACCTTCTGGTTAAATACAGATGTCTGTTAAACAAATACGTCCGGTGAATAATCTTTATGTGATTTCTACTCCACAAGTACCTCGAGATCCTAATTTAACAGCAACACCTACCATTGCTACCAAGCCCCACCTTCCAATTCTCAATTATTTCTCACTAAGATTAAAAAAAAATAAAAAATAGGTACATAACTAGTTCTGGGAACAAAGTGAAAGATACTGTCTCAATTCACACATTTCTTGTATCTTTAGTACCAATGACAAAGCAATTACTTATGCAGGACCTCCGTCACATGACCAAAATCTGTGATTTCAAAGGAGAATTGCACATCAGCAGGGGAAAGCTTTAGCTGGAGATAACCATTGCACGAGCAGTGAAAGAAGTGCTCAGAGGCACCAGCACTTCGGTATTAACAGACTTCATGCTTTGCCCTCAAGCAGACTGCCTCCTTTCCACATTAAAGAGTGTAACACCACCATTAGGACCCTGATGAACAACACACCTGCTCCTTTTCACAAGAATAGGGAGTGAGAGAGAGAAGGTGTGCTGCAATTTAGTGTAAATATTTACACATATGAGTGGAAATGTTTACATAAATGAGCAATTGTAAAGTGGTGTGACCTTCCACCTATGTGGGAAGGCTTGCAGCTAGTCTTGTAAGAATTGGATTACTTAATCAGATTAGATCTGACCACTTAGCTGTAATGTTATATAATGACCATTAATCAAAATTAGATAGTGTAGTATATACTTTTTCATATACTGAAGGGAAATCCTATTATTTTAATAATCCAAAGAAATATACTATTCCCTTGGACACAATCTGATAACGAACAGTCTCTTGAGTAATGGAAACATAATATACAAGAATTCTTACTGTGACAATGGAGTAGTGATTGGGAAAGGTTTTTGAAGGATACACTGGTCTCATATTAGAAGTGTATGTTCCACATTTCTCTAGCGGGAGGAAAAAAGAAAATCAGCAAATTTACAGAAATAAAAATCCTTGCAAGTTTCTCTCATGAAAATATGTACCTATTAAAAAAAAAAGAAAACCAAAAGATATTTCCAGAAAGTTTCCATTCTTCAAAATTCTAGTGTTAATATATTTTATGAAGAAAAATTAAGTAAGTTTTATATATTCCTAATGACTGACTTTGATCATCATATCAGCAAAACCTACAGACCTTATGAAAAGTAGGCATAGATAAGGATAAGTAATCCAAAGAAATCACACCCTCCAAAGTGGCCCTGATACACAGCAAGTGAAGCCTGCAGTTGGAGACCAACTAAGGACTCTACCCTGAGCACTCCCAGAGATGAAGTAGCCACTGGCACAGCGCTGCCCTGGCTCTCTCAGTCACCTGTAAAATCACTACTTATTCTGCAGTCTCATTTTTGGGGTGTTTTGTTTGCGTTTTTTGTGAGGGTGTTGGTGCTGTTTGTTTTTAAGTAAAAATATGCTCTTATTCTAGGATAAATCTCAAAGTTATCTTGATATAAAAAACACAGTTTAAGTACATCAGTGCACAGTATTTGTTAGTATGAAGAGTCACTAGCCAGGCCAAAGCACTTAGGCAAACCTTACTTAAATTAGGTGCCTGAATTTCCACAGGCAAAAGTATGGGTCCTGATTTTCAGCAAGAAGAAAAAAAAAAAACCCAAAAAACACCACACCACAACCCTTCATTAACAATTTAATTACTATGTCAAAAATCAAACTCACTTCAACTGATGCTTAAGAGCTGACAGACGACCCTATAAGCATCAGTTGAAGTGGGTTTGATTTAAGAGCTGACAGACGACCCTATAGAAAGGCGACCACTAGGCAGTCTTCACTGGCTCTCTGGGCCATTATATATAAACAGAAAATGAAAGATTTTATAACAAGAAGTGTAGCATCAAGGTGCTCTGAAATCATTGGACTATGGCTTTGGATGAGATCTCAGCTGACATAATTTGAGTAAACTGAGATAAAAAGAAGCCAAGCTGGAAAAATAAGTCCTCCCAAGTTACAGACTTCCCCTCCCACATTTGCTTTCTGTATTAAATCATCACTGGTACCCTTTTTGCTACTGCAACACACTTAATGCATTTCAGTCACTTTCAGATTTGTTGTTGAGGCTGTTTTCTGAAGTCATGTGGGTTTTTTTCCAGGGAGGTTGGGTCAGGTTGTTGATTTTTGTTTTGTTTTTAATGTAAGAGAAAAACACACTTAAACTTCTGTTTTGTCAAAAATCCCAGGGTTTTTCTCTGGGTATTTCCATAAGAGCTATCTTTTTTTTTTGTCTTGTTGCCTTAGTTAAAGACAATTTAAGACAAAAGGAAGATTAAAGTTTTGGTGCCACAGTGTAGGAGTATGAAAATGTCTTCTCTGAATCACACGCAGACATGACTATGTCTGTGCTCACTGACAGCCTTCAGCTCCATGCTGAATTGCCCACATTTTAGCAGGTAGTAAAGAGAGTGAGCATATAATAAAACCTGCTGAAAGTGGAAGTTATGATATTGTTTTACAGGCATGTAACAAATTTCTCCAAGACAATACCAGAATTTTATTATAGGCATGTCAGAGTTAACAGGAGTAGAAAACAGGAATATTGTTATCTAACAGAATGATGCACATCATCAAATGTTTTAAAGACTAAAACCCAGGGATTTCACATGGTTCTCATTTAACAAGAAACTGGGCAGTCTTAAGTTACTTAACACAAACAACTCTTCACTGCTTTGCAAGTGCTGTCATTGATAAACTGTCTCTTTTTGAACATTTAGTTTTGTAAATAGGTAACTATGAACCTCAAGAGGATTCAATACATTCTTTCAGCAGTATTCAAGCAATTTATCCATTATTGTTACTTGTCTACCACAGAGGAATAGATTTCATTACCCTTTCCTGCACAGTAAAATACTAAAAGTAGTATTTACACACTCAGAATTGTTTATCTTTACAACAGAACTGCTTCCACTGTTTTCAGTGCCTAGACACATGGGAAATGACACGTGTCCTCCCCCTCTACTCTGTGCTGGTGAGGCCTCACCTGGAGTGCTGTGTCTAGTTCTGGGCTCCCCCGTTCCAGAAGGACAAGGAACTACTGGAGAGGGTCCAGCGCAGGGACACTAAGATGATGAAGGGCCTGGAGCACCTTCCATATGAGGAAAGGCTGAGAGAGCTGGGTCTGTTTAGCCTGGAGAAGAGAAGGCTGAGAGGGGATCTTAGCAATGCTGATAGATATCTAAAGGGTGGGTGTCAGGAAGATGGGGCCAGGCTCTTCTCAGTGGTGTTCAGTGACAGGACTAGGGGCAATGGCCATAAACTGGAAAACAGAAGGTTCCACCTAGACATGAGGAAACCCTTCTTCCCTGTGAGGGTGACAGAGCACTGGAACAGGCTGCCCAGAGAGGTGGTGGAGTCTCCTTCCCTGGAGACTTTCAAAAGTCGCCTGGATTTGTTCCTGTGTGATCTACTCCAGGTGATCCTGCTCTGGCAGGGAGGTTGGACTAGGTGATCTCTAGAGGCCCCTTCCAATCCCTACCACTCTGTGACTCTGTAACATGAAGTACATGGAGGTCTGACACCACAAGCCCTTAGAGTGTCCTTGTGACATCAGTTTTCATTCAGAAATCTATTTTTCTCTTCATGAAGAAAATTTGCCTTATCTGAGCTTTTCATCCACCATTTTACTATTGGGGGATGGAACACCTGAAAGCAAGGTTCTATAACTAGAGAAAGTTGAAGATCCTGTAGTTTATCATATTGTGGAAGTTTTCTGTCAGATTACAAAAAATGCTCGAGTCATCTAGAACTATAGACATAATGCAGAAATAATATTTTTCCCCAGATGGTTCCTTATTTTGTTGTGTCTAAAAGTTGTATTATTGGACATTCTGGTTTTAGAATCCTTAAAAAAACAACTATGTTTAAACCATCAAAAACTCCATGGTTCTGGAAAAGTGAGGTGACACTGATGAAGATACTAAGAAATTTGTATTTCTTAGGGGTCAGAATTTATCATGGGTTCAGAATCAAAGTTTATTACAGAAGTCAATGAGTCAACGTAGCCTATCCAGACCAAAGAATGAAGAAACTTTATGTATGGAAGTTGATGTCACAGCCTGAGTGCTACAGATGTTCTGTGGCACCATTATTTTGTATCTCAGCCAGAGCTATAACCACTTGTAACAGCCAGCCTCTCCTCGCAATGCTCAAGAAACCTTCTTCAGTTTAAATTTTTTTTTACAACTGCATCTAATGAAATTGTTTGAAACTCCTTGTTTTAGTCTAACATGGAACAAAATTTTAAAAAGCTAAAGCCTCAAATACATCTGTGACTTGTTATCCTCTGGAACAGATCAAACTGTAACAACCACTGTACAAAAAGTAAGTATTTTTACTGATTTATTTTTAGTCAAACTGAAACTAGCCACCCAGGTAGTAATTTATGAATGACAAGAAAATTGGCGTATTTTTCAGACACGAAGTGCCACCAGTTCTTTATAGACCACAGCCAAAATAGAGACAAGTAACTAAAGTTACTTAGACACTACAAACTTAAGTAACACACTACAAAATTAGGGAAGAAAAAAAAAAATGTACTTATGAAGCTCTCATTTCTTCTGAAAATGTTTGTCAAGTAAAGGTTCTCTTACATTCGGCACATTTCTACAAGCCCTTCAATATCATTTGTTCCTAACCCCTTCCTTATCAATCTTTTTTCAAGTACAATCAAATACTTTCTACCTTACTTTCTGTTTTCCAATGCCACTCCACCTAATATGAGACAAAATTAATTGTAGAGTAGGAAGTAGATTTACTTCCATTTTGAAGAAATAAAGTAAGCTCACAGAAAAAAAAAATCACCTCCTAAATACGAAAAGAGTTACTTAATAATTTGTAAGATTACGGTGAAAACCCAAAGGACCCTTTCCTCACGCCCACCCTCCCTCCCTTTGCCCCTCCACACTCCCCCACCTAAAGTTCTCTGTGTATGGTTGTTACTTAGGGCAACAACTTCAATTTCCATAGAAGAGTGAGGATTTTAAGGAGTAAGCACAGCTGCATCTATGGATTTTTCAGGTAAGACATCATGGTATTGCTAACACAAAGAAGCTACTCACGTAATTTGCTAATAACAGGTAGAAGTCCACCCCAAGTCTGCAAATACTCTGCTCTGAAGCCATCCAGTGAAAACAGTAACACAGGAGACTTGGTAAATCTGAACAAATAGAAATTGAAGTATTAAAAAGACAGACTGAGAAATAATTTCCTACTACGTATTTCAATAAAGTTCTCCCTAAATTGTGGGGATATTCATTATGGGACTATGAGCTGAGGAATAGAATTCTTGCAAAGCAGGAAGGTTCGTGGGCTGGTGCAGAGGTGAGCAGACCAGCTGTCCAGTCCCTCTGCTCATAGGCTGGCGTAGCAACCCTGCCCAAAGAGGCTGAGCATTGCAGTAGGGCACGCACGGCGGAATCATGACAAGACCTGATTTCAAAATACAGAACAAGTCAACATGTTCATATAATCCATCTGGTGGGTTTGGTACTCCTTACCCTGAAATCAGTCCCAATGGAACAACACTCACCCCTCCAAACCCCTCCTCCCACCCCAAGGTAAGAGCAGGTAAAGAGAAAAGGCAATGTGAAGCCATGGCTTTTCTTTATTCACTTTCCTCCTGAACAACTCGTAATCTAGCTGAAAAGAAGGAATTTATCTTTTTACATACACAGTGAACAGTAAGTCTAATATACATAATATGTTAAATCAGCAACTATAACACATTTTTCCTCTTATCTTATAAAGATTATTTAATCAAGAAGAAATGTTACAGTACCAGAAGTACTACCAATCTCCAAACTGAAAAGCGTCACCCTACAACTGGAACACTAACAGTACTTCTGCGTGGAGCTTGACAGATATTCAGAAACTGATTTCATTGGAGCTAACAAAAATAAACTCTCCTCTTCAGCCTCTACAGATCTTAGAATCACAGAATGGTTTGGGTTGGTAGGGACCTTAAAGATCATCTAGTTCCAACCCCCCTGCCATGGGCAGGGACACCTTCCACTAGACCAGGTTGCTCAAAGCCAAGTCTCAAAGTCTCATCTTTTCCAGCCTTGACTTGTTCCCAGCTTCAGCCCTGCTCAAACAATTTCTCTCCAACTGTAAGCACTTAAAAAATTGCACCACAGATAGGAATAGGCATCGGTAACTTGAAGAAAAAAAATATTCTATGTTTCACCTACAAATATGAGGACACGCAAGACTGCAAAAAAAATAATCACTGCAGTGCAGCAACAACTACTCAAAATACAGATTTGCATGGAAGAATTGAATATATTTTACATGTCAATTGCAAGCTCATTTTCCCCTTTTCTGTTTAAAAAATTCTAAAATAAAAATGGGGGTTTTTGTTTGTGCTTTTTTTTAAGCTTTGTTGCACTTCAGTTTCTCAAAATAAAACAGTGAGAATAGAAGAAAAATATTAGTTATAAATTGTTGACAATTTCTTTAGTGAGGTACCTCACAAAAATATCTGAAGTCTTTTACAAGTGAAACATTTATAAACCTTATTTCAGTCAAACAAAGGTGACTATATTAAACTGAAGATTAATCAGGCAACCAAAACATGTCTACCCTAATTTAATCAACAACTTGGATAACATTTTGGCCAAAAGGATTTCATTAGTCAGGACCATTACACAGGCTACCCTACTCCCTGGACAGAATAAAACATTGAGACATATTCATGAAGTCTGTGTTTGTAGCCTCGTTTTTATTCACATGGTATATTTAATACCATCTTTTCAAAATCTTTTAGGGACAGTTACGTGGGAACAAATGAATGATCTTCAGACTAAGACTAAAGTCCTTTGGCAGAAGAGAGCAGGGAAACTTCATGTACTACCTTTGACCATATTACAAATTCTATTTGCAAAAGTTGCAGAGATCAGAATCTGTGATGCAGAAATTTTCTTGGCACATCACCCCCTCCCCCCAAGAAATTGATCCTCTCCAATGCAGAGGTCTAAAAATCTTCACTGTGAAGTTTCCTGCAATAAAATATGAACTTTGAGGCAGAGACTGTTCAGTATTACTTACTGACAAGTCTAACTTTAAACAGAAAAAACCCAAACCAAATTTAAAACAACTCCTTAGAAAGGGACTTTACGCAACTGTTTCTGGTTTGGCATTTACAAGTAAACCAACTGTTAAGTACATGTTTTTGTCGTCTGCAAATCCAGCTACTGACCCCCTTTGCACATGTAAAATTAAACCTGGCAATACAGACCACTGCTACAACTAGGGAGATTGGCCATTTCACTTCTTACATACGCTACGCGTGCTGAAACAGAGTAAATGATCTGCCCTGTGCTCAGGGAAGCAAAGCATAACAGACTATGTTAAACTCCACTCTTTAGAACAGCTCCAGTAAAATCCACAGACAAACCGACCTGAGCTCAGTTCTGAGATACCGCAGAGATTTTCATGACTTTATCCTGTCAGTAGCCAAGGTTACATTTGCTACTTCAAAAATGTGGTACCACGCACAAGCCAGACTGGGAGGCTCAAGTTTTGGCCCTGCCAGCGATTCATTCACTGTGTCTAAACAGTATGACAAGGGTGTTTCACAGCTCTTGGATAAATATGTATGCCACAGTCACATCCTGACTCCAAACTGAAGGAAATGCAGTGGTAATTATCCCCTCCTATAAACTGGCTTGTATGGAAACACAACGCAGGCAGCACAGGCTTGCTGTGGTCTAGCAGGTTCACTCGTCTGCATGATCAAGAGCCCAGAACTGCAGACCACACTGCCAAGCTGACTTGCCTCACCACAGGCAAGTTAGACCACAATTGAAAGGAAAAAAGTAGAACAAAGGAAAAAAATAAAAGAAACTTCCCTTGAAAAGCTAAATATACTACACAGAATACTTCCTATCCCACACACAGGCACGACTGCCTATATACAGCCATAAAGCATAGGAACTGAACCTTTCTTTTCCACTAAACGTATGTAAAGACTCAACAGGAGGCATAATAGCAATCTTCAAATGTACAGGAGAGATCTGCAGAGAGGAAAGGAATCCACTGCTCTTCCAGCTGAATGAAGCTAAACCAAATAGCAACAGGCTTAAAGTACAGCAAAAGATACTACGACATCAGGGAAACCATCTAGCTAAGCACAAGGATAAACTGCTTAAGTAGGTTTGAATTATCAAAATGTTATTTTACTCCTAGAATAGTGGGCAGGTCTAGATCACTCCTGAAATCTTACAGACCAATAACTTCATAATCCTATTAAATAACATTGAACCTAGTCTTGGAAAGGCTTAGGTGTGTACTTAAGCATTAGATGAGTCTCACTGACATCAGAGGGATTTCTCAGACTGAACACCTCATTGAACACTGCATTGTCTTCTGCCTATTCTGCACAAGAGCAAACCCAGCTAAAACCAAAACAGAATAAAACCAGCAATTTCAACCCACAAAACACACTATTAATATGCACATAATCAGAATTGATATCCTGAGGCCTCAATCCAAAAACTGAGCTTTGTCACCTGCACTCCTGCCTACGCCACCATAGGAAGAACAGGATTGTTTACAGAGTTGTTAATTTTGGAAGAGGCTTTTGTTTGATTCAACTTTGACCACACATCACCCTTTCCTGGGCTGGGTTCTATTGCACCATTGCTGGTTTTGCCAGAATTAAAACAATTCTAGTAGACTAACTTATGCATCCCTTTCATGCACTGAACAGAAATAACAAAAAACCCTAAAAACAAGTTAACCAACAGTAGTTGCCCTACAGCATTTATACCATTAACACTGACTGTGGATCTGCACAAAGCTTTTGCTTGTTAATCCACTCTTAGGGGTAACAGTTCCTAATCTTGCATTATGGACATCAGCATCCTAGAGTCAGTTCCCAGCACACAGTCCTGAATGGCCCCTGACTTCAAGAACAGGAGTTAATGACAACAGCTTCCAGAATCATCTGGCTACCAGTCTCCTACATGGGGACTTCTCAGGGACTTGCACTCCAAGCTGAACAGAAGCTATAATTTCTGTCTTGAAGGAAGTTCTGAAGTGTCCAGTGTTTGTTACTGCTCTGAATGAGGAGGAAGAGGGCTCGTTTGGCATAAAAATATTCCAAAAGAAAATGTGTTTTGATTGGCAATATTGTAATTCCAATGAATGAATATAGCATGATTCAAATATCTTAAGTCAAAAAAGTAATGACATAAGAAAACAATGAAGTGTGCTTACTTTACTGAAAATATCCCCAAGCACACCATAATTTCAAAATCATCCAAGTGAAAATAGTTTTTATTATTGACACTTTTTAGACAAGAACAGAACTGAATTCAACTCATTCAACAAACTGTTTTCTAGTGGAACTCTTCTCAGTACAGAACATTTAAGTCACTTAACTTACACATGCAACCAGAGTTTGCATCCAACTTTAGCTTGAAAGATAATTTGAAGATCCCAGAGCAGAAACCTTACAAGACATGCAGGCTTTTTTCCTGACTGGGAAATTTGCAGTAGTGTTTCAGCCTGAGCACTGATGCCATGAACTAGATGAATCCTTTCTTACTAGCACATACGTAACTTGCAGGAGTTGGGCCAATGTGGAACTGAGCCAGAGAATACAAGGGTTCCATGGCAATTTACACCTTTTAAAGAATGTAGTTCAGACAGCTTGCAAATAATGCTGTCCCACTGCTGGTGAAATCGGGACAGTGCCCACATTTTGAAGCTCCAGGGCTTGAACAGGCAAGGAAGTGGAAGGGTCTTTGGAAGCAACCAGGCAGGGATGCGGTCTTAGGAGTCCGAGATTGCTGTGTGGTTCCCAAAGATGTTTGGGACAGCAGGTATTGGAGCACATGTAGGACGATAATAAGGTTGATGCAAGGCAGAGCTGCTCAGAGCACACACGTGTGAGACAGCAGGGTTCAGGAATAAGCATATCTTGCAAGTCAAGCAAGTGCTGGGATACACGAGTATTGCTGGGATAGAGCAACCCGATCTGTTAGTAAGCACTACCAAATGCTGGCTGAACAGGTGTCCTTCTGTCTGGCAGCTGCTCTTACTGTGGAAAAGAAAGGCAAGCAGGTCCCAGGAAGGCACAATAGGAAAAATAATCTCAAAAATTAAATTTAAGCAAAGAACAGAGCTATGCAAATATACAATATCCTCACCCTTTTGGACACTGAGGTTCAGTAATGTCCTCACACTCTTCTTCAACCCAGCTTGCCTCTCCTTAAAAAATAAATTGCACTCATTTGTTTTAAGACAGTACATTCTTATTGATAAATGCAAGGGGTTTTTTTGTCTTATTGGATGCTTTGAACAATTATACTACGTCCCTTTCATACAAATATGGGTACACATAAGAGATACTGTAGGAATCTGTTGAGGATATTTACCTTTACAAACAGCCTGATAATTGACACAGCAATCTTCATTTTCCACACAATCATCTGAACAGGAACAATGATATTCTAGTCGCCTCTTCTCTCCACACCTGAATTTATTACAGGTCCATATATGGGCTGAAAAACAGACAAGAGAAAAGGACAGCACAATGATAAATACCAATCTAAGTGCAGAATTACTGAGTGTAAATTCTGTCTCAAATGTGTACTCACTAAAAACACTCCTCTCATGCATGCATCATATTGCAAGCTTTGGCACTTTGGAAAATAGAAACAGCTAAACAGCCCAGGTACATAGCCATCTGAATACAATTATGCAGTATATGGTTATAAATATCACAGATCAGAAGAGGTCAACAGAAAGAATCCTTTTTATAGGCCTCCTTAAACACGATAATTTACATGGGTTTAATCTGGTAAATGCCAATTATAAAGATGATCCAAAACAAATCCCCCAGAAAAAAAACCAAAACTGAATCTGAATTTGGAATGCCTAGAAAATACTGACTTACACGGAGGTCACAATGGATTTTACCAGTCACAATCAAGCATTGCAGGTGTTTCAGTAACTCTTAAGCACAGGCATAACTCAGCCACTATTTGAGACTCTATAAATGAACTCACAGAAAGACCTACTGACTTCAGATGATTTGATGTATTGGAATATTCTGTTCAGAAAAATCAATGCAATTCAGGAAATAAACACCTCTGAAAACAGCAGTGAAGCTGAAGATGATCATTTTTTTATCAGTTGTAAACACAAGTAGATCCTTTGTAACCAATGAGGTTTAATATGAATGAATTTACCAACTGAGTGAATACTTAAGGGAAGGTCTTAACAGAGACACAGAAGCCAAATCTACATGTTTTTGTAGAGGACAGTCAATACATGGTCTTCACACATGACTAGAAATTAGAAACCCTTAAAAGCATTCTCAGAAGGTTAATCTCACTTTTAGGAATACTGAACTTCAGTAAGCCTACCAGTGTCAGTAGATCTTTACTTCTGTGAGCAATGGAAGAATCTATCATAGTTCTAGTTAAATTCTAATTTCCAAATAGAATCATGTAACTCTTCATTTATGTTAAGGCTGATTAATTAAAAAAAAAACCTGCACCAAGCAATAAGTTGACATTCTTAATACCAAGACATTCTTTCCAGTTTGCTTTTAGAGAGTGCTTTAAACTGAGGGAGAGTGGTGTAATGAAGCAAAGCAGAGAGTAAATTACATGCAACTATTCCATAAGTAAAAGGCTTCATGCAATTTCGATGGTTCTTCAATAATACTAAGTTGAAGCAGGGATCTGAGCTCAGTTTAATAATTTAGTGTTAAAAGTCAACATGGAATTTTTAATTGCAGGGTGAGACTACACTGAGAAGTTTTACAAATTACATATGAAGGAGTAAGAAGAAAAATAGCTAACTGAAAAGAATGCATATGAAGCATTAAGGCAAAGCTAAATTAGAAGAAACAGTCAAGTTCTGTCCTTTGTGTTACTAACCACACTGTCTTTCCCTGCAAAATTTCTCCGTGGTACCGTTGATACCTCTGCCTGACCCCTGCATTCTTTCAAATCATGAGAATGATCGCAACGTGAGCAGCAGTTCTCCACCCGTGCAATCTGTCCTATCACCCTGCCTTGTCGCAAAGGCCGGCACATGACCCTTGCTTCACACTCCAGCTGGAGAGTAACAGGGCAGAGAGCCTGAGTAGCAGTGCAGGGAGAGATGGCAGCTTTCACAGAGCTGCTGTCCTTCCCCTTTTTCAGGCAGGCAATGACAGAAAGATACAAAATGCAGAATGCACTCTTATTCCTGGCTTGCCTGAGAAAGTAGGAGTTGTGCCTAGCATCAGGGACAATATGGGTCCCTGTTCTCTCACACCAGACAGAGAACAAAAGGCTGGCTGAGGCCTCCAGTTGTAGTTGATCCTCCTCTTTCCAAGGGGGAGGGAGGCAGCACAGTCCCTTGCAGTCCCTCCTTGGAAGAGCTCCAGGAAAGCCAGGCTACTAGCCACATCAGCTCCCACGTAGTCCAGCTGGGTGAAATACAAGCTTTGTTTGTGCACAACAACAGAGCCCTGATGGTTTCCACAGGGGTCCCCACTACTGCCATCACCGCTGCAGCTACACTTGGGGTTGCAATGGCAGGAGCACAAGGAGGGGGAGAGCACTGGCACCTGAACCACCCTGCTGTCCAGCAGCCCATCTCTTGCACCCGCAGCCCATCTGCAAGAAGTCAGGAGTTATGGCCCGACAGCTTTTCTTTCACCCTTACCTGGTTGTATACATGCTTCCTGGTAATCTAAGCAGCAATTTCCAAGCTTCACACAATCTCTATCACAACGGCAGCTTCCAAAGGTCCTTTCAAAGCAACGACCTTTGCAGGTTTTCACTGCAATATTGGATAGCGTTAGATGTCAATGGCTGAGCCCAAATCAGTCAACATGCAAAAGAAATCAATAAGGTCAGCACGTGGAATGACACAGCTCATCATTCCACAACTTACAGGATGGCTCCAAAAGCAGTGACAGCCAAAGAAAAGGAACGTATTCATCCAATTCAACGCTTATTTTCTCTTATTGAACAAATATATTTTTCATCACATCAAACAAAGTTCTCTTCTGTTTTAGCAGGAACATGGTGTTTCATTATTGGCACAGAAACAAGTGAAACAGAAGACTACAATTCTAGTTGTGACTGTCCCTGCCTTGCTGTATTACCAGAAGATGCAAGTACAGTCATTCACATTATGGAAGATCTCCAGCAGAGGAAATCCGAACCTAGGTTTTTAATGAGTGCCCCAAACAGTGAAATGCTTTTGCAGAGAACACTGACCTTCATTTTCACATCAGACAATGCTCTACTTTCTAGAAATAATTGAACATTAGAATTTAGACTGCATTGGCTATGCTTGCAATTCTCCCATGCTCATGTCCTGTTTCAGACTGTCTTCATACAAATCAGAGGAAGTGAAGCAGCTCCAGTTTCACATCCCATTATACCATGGTTAACTTTCTATCTCAAGACACAGGAAAGTCTGTTCCAAATCAGACACAGGAGATATAAACTTGAGTGTACTGCTCACTGGTCTAGTTTTTCTTCAGTTTTAACTTAAAAAAAAAAACCACACAACACACCACAGCATTCTTCAACTAGACTGGGGTTGCCTGGGGCGGGGGGGGGAGAAAAAACACACACCCCTCCCCAACCAACCTGGTAATGTGAAACATTAACAACACTTAATTAGTTGGTCAGTCTGTTCCATCACCAGAAGGGAGTGATTCATTTGGCTCCTTTTTAAGAATCTTGAGGTGTGTGATATTAGGGAAAACAAAATAATAATGAGCCAATAATACAAAGCTGTAATAAAATGAGAAAAACACCTGAACGGGTTCTAGTGGGAAATCAGTAATATAAATTTTAGTTAAAAATTATTGTAGGACTGTTAAACAGATCAATTTTGAAATTACTCTAGCTATTCCCAAAGCAAAGCTCAATTTCTTAAAATATCTCTCATAACGTTCTACCTGAAGAAACTTAACCAATGAAAAAACCACAAATTTTTAAGGACAGAAAACAGTCAGAGGAATTCCACAAGGAACATTTTCAGACTACAATTCTAACCAGTAAAAAATAGCTTCCCTTACCACCCCCCTCCCACCCCCCCAAGAAATTGACTGGAAAAGATGAAAAACAAATGTTCCAGGACAACATGAAATCCAAATCGAGCTGGGGTTGATTTTTTTTTTTTAAATAGTGAACTCAGAAAAGCCAGCCATATGACATCACCACAGCGACAGTTGGGATACATGGAAGCTGCCAGACCAGACATCGACTGCCAGGATCAGTTTACCTCTCAATTGAGTACACGCAAGTACCAAGTGTACCTGAGGCTTATTTCCCATTATTTTCATTTCCCTCTAACTGAAACTGCATCAAGCAGCGTATCCAATCGTCTTCCTGCAGCAAGAAAGGGTGGCATTCTGAGAATATCAAAATCAATTGACAAAAAGGGAAAAAAAAAAAGTAATTGCTTAGAAATATTACTAAATAAAAGGCATATTATTTACCATCTTTTGAACAGCTAGGCTTCAGGCCAAATACACATCCTAGGATTGTTGTTAACATACAGACACAGAGTACCTGTGGGGCAGGAAGGAAAAGAAAGTAATCTTAAGTGACCACTGAATGGTTTTGCAAGCCCTCATTTTCTTTATAATACTATACAATTGTACTGAACTTGATAAAAATGCAGATTAGGAGGCTGATTTCACAAGGAGCTTTCACTCACACAAGTAGTTACATTGTTTGCAATTAATTACTGGTGCATGAACATTAATATCCTGAAGACTGGGGCCTACGTATGTCATTTCTTGTGAAGTTATTTAATGTAGACACGGTGATATATTTCTTTCTCACAAACAAAAAAAGATGTTTATGGTTACACATATATCAATTTTACAGAAATATTTCTTTGCTCCACTTCTTCCTTCCTCCTAGGTTGTTCTAAGAATGTGAAGTAAAGTTTTGCCATTGACCACAGACTACAAACAAGAAGGCATGGCCCTTAAGTGATACCTATAATTTTCTTAGGCAGGAAAACCTTTCCCCACTTCCTAGTATCCAGTTCATACTAGATGTTGGTCCATACCATGGTAAGCAACTGTGGGATGTCACATAGACTGACCACAGTGTCTTACACAGACCAAAAACTATGGCCATGTTTATTTTGGATCCTGAATGCAAGAAAGTTATCAAACAAGTGCCATATTGTCCCTGCCCAGCATTTTAGGACAAGACCAGAAAGCCTAGTCAAATACAGGGAAAGATTCTTTTTAACCTCATTAAATATTGGATTTTTTTAGGAAAAGTGTATATATCAATGCATATACAACAATTAAAGAGTCTAAGGAAAGACAATCATGCACTTACGATGACTATTCAAACGTAGAATATAATAGCTTGCCAGAAGTCCTGAAAGAGAAGGCACTGTAATAATGCAGACTTTCTTATTCAGAAGAATTTGGGGAGGTATGGGTGGGAGAGAATATATGTGTCACCTTTCCAGTCATTGTCTTCTGAGGCAAATTGCTTTCAATCAATACTTCTATAGTTCTGCATACATGCCTGCACAAAGCCCTTTTCTCTTCCTCCCCCATCAGCAAATGCTGCTGAGCCAGTCTTTTTGAGCATGATGCCTGAATCGTGATGTGATGTGGCAAAAATTCATTCAATTTTAAAATGCACCTAGTTATTTCTCATGCTTATCCTTTTAAAGGCTATGAGTCCTTAAATAAGTAAACACTGTTTATGGGGTTTGTTTTTTGGGGGGTTTGGGTGGGGTTTTTTCCCCCAAATACACAGTTCACTATACAATTTTGTTTACTAAGCAGTTAAATCAAAGAACACAATTTCTAGAATGTGCAGCATTGAAATGTAGATATTATTCTGTATTTCTGAAGTGCAAATCATCACAAACCAGATTAATTAATACAAAAATTATTATATATAGCATTCATGAGAAAAGGGAATTTAGACTGGATCTGATGAAACTTCGGCCTAGAATTCTGAACCAGGCAAGTCTGGAATCTTGGAGTCTACCCTGTCTAACAGAGAAAGAAGTACTTTTTGAGTTCAAGTCTGTCTTTGAACTGACAGGGAAAGGGACAAATGAAAGGATAAGGAAAAAAAAAAATGGCATTATCAAGGCATCCAGACACACTACAACTGATACAAAGGTGCAAGTCTCCATTAACCCTCCATTAAGCTGTCAAGAAGGAACACAACTGCAGACCTCTGTATTTGACTTCTTTTTTTTAAAAAAAAACAAACATACTAACATGCAGTATCAACAACATTTTCTGTTAAGTCAGTACCAATAGTATCTTCCACGTAAATTGTTCTGGACCTTTGAATTCTTCCACACGAGATATCACCTAGATAAGAGTATGCACACAGCTACGTAGGTAGCATGTCAGATGTAAGATGTTAGAGCCTGGCAAAATCAGTGGAGAGGGCAAAACCTGTTATTGTTCTTTTAATTTATGTATTATTTGGAAATTACAAATTGATTCATTTGTTTTTAAAAAGCTAATCTGAGACCTTTTTATTTCAAGATAATGATATATCACTTCTCTACTCCTATCAGGTCCTGCTACCAAGATCAAAGAATAGAATGTCCTCTGACATGTAACCACAAACATGCTTTAAAACAAAGCAAAAAGCACACCTGCTTTATCTATGGGTTTTTTCCCTTATCTTCAAATAGCTACATGACTTATAGATCTTATGCCACCTAAGGCATCCTTGTAACGAAAACACACTGCAGTGCCACAAAATGGACTATTAATATTCCCTTATGGAGCTTCACTGTAGGTAATGCACGTTTAAAAAGACACCAAATTAGTGTAAAAATAAAATCCAAATACAACCCACTCTGAAGTGGAGTGTTCTAATACTCTGCAACTAAAGCTGGTAAATCCTCACTAAAGCTCTGACTAGTAATTATTGAAATATTTGGCACCAATTGTCATAAAAAAAAATCAGTTTTCTGTGTTACGCCAGATTTTCAGTTTTACACTTCCATGAACATAATTAATTCCAATAAGCAAAAACGTGAAAGGATTATGTTCACCGAGGTGTATGAATGTTCTTTTGGATAGGAAATGCTACAAAACAGTAATGCTACTTGATCCAATAGTACACTTTGTCTTTCTTTCCTGCAAGCAATACTCTGGAAACATCATAGCATCACAAAGCACAGCATAGCACAAACACTCTCTTGTCTCTGCTGCAAACCAGTTCCTCTCTCAAATTTCTTATACCTTATTCCTTACTTGGTATACGATGTCCATCTGTAATAAATGAATGAAAATCTGGGAACTTCTACTGACTCACTACACCCAAGCCCTTGCTTTCTTAACATTAGTCCCACAAGCTTAAACTTTAGTCTTAAAAAATATTTTACTGCAAAACACTTTAAAACCTCCCCTCCTCCTCATCCCCTCATTTCTGTCTTCAATAGGTAATAGAGGAGCTTTACAAAAATGATAAGTTTAGAGGTAAAGACTTGGACAATGCTCTGGGACAACCAACTCTAACCTAGTTGACTACACCATAATTGCAGCTTAGTGTTTCAGGCTTTGAATCAAAGCTTTATCTTGAGCCTGAACTGCAGTCACGTGGATATTACCCACACAAATGGCACCAGTGTTCAGCTGGAACAATGTGGAACAACTAATGTCGGCCAACAGCAGCAGTAGTCCTGACTAGGCACAGCAAGAGGTGTTAGACTCAATAACTGACTTACTGTCAGTGGAGAGGGTCTACGATTATCAGCTCTACAGATGACAAGAAATAATCAAACCAGCTTTTAAAGGTCACCCAGATACAGAAAGTTCTCTCTGCTGCAGCTCAAATATGGGCTAATTTATTTTGCTTCTTGCTATATGGGACCTCATTGCATCAGCTAGCTCAGGTTTGGGATGCTGTAGTCCGCAGTCTATATAGATTAAAAAAAGGACTAGACAAGTAGCTGCACATATAGTTCAAGTTTCAGCTATCAAGTTTTAACCTTGATAAAACACCACAGCATCCTGCTGCCAGCACCACATTCAGATCTCTAGCTACCACCACACTGTTACTCGTAACACCTGCCCTCAAGGTTTAGTCTGTATTTTAAACAAAAGGAGAAAAATCTTACCTGTTCTCTCCCCACATATTCTTTCCCCCAGAAGGGAAAGCAAGAATTGGGGGGGTTGGGGGGGGGAAAATGTAATTGAGAATGAATATGGGAATCCAAAACTTGTTAGGAAGGCAAACAAAATTAGAGAACCTGGCCTTGCTATACACAAGTAGCACATGAACTTTTTATGGTCTGTAACTTGAGATTGCTATGACAAAATGTCAGGTTTGGTTTTAATATGATATCTGAGAAAAGTTTTTAAACCAACAAGTGAAAACTGGAGAAGAAAGTGTCCTTCTTTGTTTTAAAAATATTTTTGACTGTGTTTGTTTTGGAATCAAGAAACATTGTCATCTAGGGATGAATCTCTGTCCCATCATTGCTTCCTTTACGTGGGAGGAAGCAATAAAAGCTCTGCTTTGTAAACAGAATAGTGGTTGGGAATAGGTGGTTGAGTGTCTGGAAAACTGCAGTCCCAAAAACATTTTAAAAGCCTTTTATTTTGAGCTGAGGAGATGGAAATATGATAACATGGTTAGAGAGCAAGATCATTTCCGTCACTCATCTCTAGAGCTGCAGCTGAAGAGAATTTGTCAGCAGTGATTTTGGGGAGCTGGTGGAAGGGCCACAGGGCCAGCAAGCACACCGGCTGCAGACACTAGAACCCAGTGAGATTGGTCAACTGTACAAGTCTGACATACTGAGAAATCTCTCGCCAGCCTTAGTCCCCTTCCCTTTGCTACTGTATTTTACTTTTCCATTACATAGTCAATGCTACTGTTCCTCTCTTCACTCTTCCCTATCTCTGTCCATCTCTGCTAATAGCCTCCCTACTATTCTATTCTGCATTTTCTTTAGCAAAGAATGCGCTGGTATTTCTTTTAAGGAATAATCATTTTGAATTAAGCTGCTTCTGTATTGACCTTCCTCACTCTGCCTGCCATATATTCTGTTGCTTCCCTTCTTCATCCCAGGTGTTCCACAGCCAACAAAACTTGTCACTCCAAGGTTTGAGGCACATCCATTAATTAACAACTACATAATTAACAAAGAAGCAATGCAAAGTAGTGGTTTCCCATTCTCATCCCCATGATTGACACTCACAATTGTGTCATGTCTATCCATAGACAACATTTAGACTGGGTCTGTAATACCAGTATTACAAAAACCCATGGAATTTTCCAAAACCACTTGCATCTGTGAAGGGCATACGAAGTTTTCACTGTTTCATACTCCTAGAAGAGATGACTAAACAGCCTGGAACTTAACAGTGAAATATCCTTGAGAAAATTCCATCTGCAAAAATATACGGAACACAGCAGTAAATAATGAATTTCAAGTAAGAACAGAGTAACTTGTCTTGAAAAGGGCATTGTTAAAAGTGCAGAAAGCATACTGTACAGAAAAAACCCTTATCTATAATTGCCGGGGCAGTGGAACACTCAGGCTTATAAGTGTT